ACCATCGAAAGCTTCCAATGCCATTCCTATCAGTCCGCCGGCGGGTGTAGAAGCTGTTGTTTCTCAAACTGCTCCTGAGGTCGGCAAACAGATACCACTGCCCCAGAAGCTACCTGATCAGAAACCTCCGGGCACCGTACTACAGCAGCAACAGCAAGAAGCCCAAGCCCCTACTCAGCCTGCGCCTGGCATTACTTCCGAAGGCTTGCAAGGTCTTAATGCATCTACTCCAGTCGTCGCACCCCCGACCGAATCGCCGGCCCCTGAGCAGAAGATTATCTCTGCTGTGCCAGGAACTCCCAAGAGCAACCAAGGCCATGACTCTGCAGAGGTTAGCGTCTCACCGAGCCAGGTCAAGCCGACACCACCGGTTGTGGTTGCTTCTGGGCCCGCTGAAGTGTCGTCTGGTCAAAAGAAGCATGATGAACGGCCGTCTCTCATTCTAAGTCGAGTGGCTCCTCGCAACGAACAACCGCTCTCTCCTGTGTCTTCTGGCGGTCCTTATTCCAACAATACTCCTGTCCCGGTTGCTGTATCGCCAGAGACGACCCCTGCAGCGGAGGGAGCTGGGCCCACCGATAATATTGTACCAAGCCCTAAGCCTGAGGAACCTACCCAAGTACCTCCAATCCTGGTACCATCTACGCCGGATGAACAGCTTCGATTAGAAGAGGCGCAATCGCTTCGGCAAAGCTCGCTGGCCTCGAAGAAAACAATCGGGGATAGTGGCACCGATGGGTCTTCGACGACGAATGAAGTGCTGCAAGAGAGTGTTGACTCAGCACCGGCAGGCCTCGAGGATTCGCTGAAAGAGGAGCAAGTTTCGGTCGATATACTCCCAGCACCGGAATCAAAGAAGCCTGATGGAGTGGTCGAACCCGCAGAGGATGATGGGGTGCCTGCGTCACCCCAAACCGAACAGGTCCAACCCTCGAATGCGGTAGAGCCTAAAGCACTGGCTCCAGCAACTTCGGCACCGAAAAAGAGCGCACAAACCGTTTCTGGGCCAGCACAGCCCGAAAGAATGACAACCAGAGTCTCTTCCGGTGCCATCCGGCATAAATCTGTTTCTGAAATCCTCGGCGAAGCCCCAAAACCGGCGGTGGTACAACCTGATAAAGCCTCTGCTACTGAGAAACCCGCAGAGGCGGCGCGAGCTGTATCCAAGGCTTCCAGTGACTCCACAGCAAGATTAAGCTTCAAGGACAGGAAGGCACGGGAAAGAGAAAGGAGCAAGCTGTCTACAGTTGTTTTTCCAAAACAGCAGCAGCAACAACAACTGCAGGATCAAGCCGACTCCATGGATCTTGTCCGCCAGCATACTGGTGACCTAGCGAAGTTGAACGAGGAACGGGATTATCTATTCACCTTGTTCCAGAGCAAGGCCTATAGCCCCCCTCGAGGCATAAGCCTCAGTACCCTCCTTGCCTCTGCTCATAAAACCTTAACCACCGCAAATCATCACCTTGAATATCAAGAGCAAATGGATTGTCGCACCCTTCGCCGCATCTATCAGCTTCAAAATGCAAATCGGTGGCCATTGCGCCAAATGAAGCGATCACTAGAGCCTCCTCGCCAAGGGACGCACTGGGATGTTCTTTTAGATCACATGAAGTGGATGCGCACTGATTTTCGCGAAGAAAGGAAGTGGAAGATCGCAGCAGCCAAAAGTTGCGCAGATTGGTGTGCTGAGTATGTCAACAGTCAGCCAGAACATAGGTCGTTGCTCCGTGTGCATGCTAGGACTCCACCACTCAAATTAGAGAAGAAGGTCGAACCTGATACTAATATGATGTCGCCTCCAGAGGAGACAGGAGATGAAATGCTGGGAATATCTCACCCGACTCCAGACCTAGTACCTTCAACAGATGAAGACTCGGTTAGCGAGGGCTATAATGATGAGCCACGCCATGATTTACATGATACGGTTGCTCCTGCAGCAATATTCTCCCTTAGTTCAGATGAATTCACATTCTCGCTAGATATGACGCCGGCAGCTCAAAAGCTTCTGGATGAACTTCCTGTCTACTCTCCAGTTGGGATTGCTCCAGAAACCAACCTGCCGACTTTCAAGGAATCTCCGGATGCTGTGTGGAAGACTGAGATTCTACCAGTCTCAAAGTACGCTTCTGGAAAGATAGCATTCCTTGATGATGAACCGCCACGAAAACGTAGTCGTTATGATTATTCGCAGTATTATTCCGATCCAGAGCAAGGGTTGTTGGACCTGCCGCCAGAGCAGACAAATGTTGCCCTCTTCCGACCCGAGAACAAGCATATACGTGATCGTATTCACCCGGGGCATACCTTTAGGCCTCCAACTGAATACCCTATGCCTTCGGTTGGCTTCTTTGAGTCCCGTCAGTCATCTCAATGGACATGGGCAGAGGATGATGAATTGCGCCGTCTTGTGAAGGAGTACTCTTACAACTGGTCTTTGATCTCTAGCTGTTTGACTCCTTCGTCGCAATTCACCTCTGGGGCGGAGAGGCGAACCCCTTGGGAATGCTTTGAACGGTGGATTGGTCTGGAGGGATTGCCTGCGGATATGTCAAAGACACAGTACTTCAGGGCTTATCATCAAAGGTTGGAGACAGCACAGCGTACTGTTCTAGCCCAGCAGCAAGCAGCCCAGCAGCAACAACAGCAGCAGCAACAGCAACAGCAACAGCAACAGGGCAATAATAACCCCCAGTCATTACCCCCAGTTCGTAGGCGAACCACACAGCCCGTCCGGGTAGACCGTAGACGGTCTTCGAAGCATCTTGCTTTGCTCGATGCCATGCGCAAGTTGGCCAAGAAGCGGGAGACGATGCTTCAAAAGCAACAACACGGTGAGGAAACAAGAGGTTGACAATCTAATATACGCCGTACTAACGCTTTCTCAGCTTCTCAACTAGCATCATTGAGAAAAGTCAACGAAGCAAACCAGCCAAAGCCCCCTATTTCGACACCTGCCGAGTTTAGTCGACTCAAGTATGAGCGGGAGTTAAAACTGCAGGAGAGGCAAGAACAATACCGGCAGCAGATGATAGCCACACAGAGGGTAGTTTTCCATCACAGGCACAGAATTCGAATCATTGCTAATGAGATTTTTAAAGGCGAACTTGGCAGCTCAGCGTGCTGGGCAAATGCCTAACCAGCAGCCTATGATGAACGCTCCTGGCCGAACTCCGAATGCTATGCCTCAGAACCCTGGAACCCCCTCTATGCCCGCCAATACTCCTAATGGGATGCCGAATGGGCTACCGAATGGAATGCCGAATGGAATACCGCCTGGCGTTGGTGCCAACCAAGGACGGCCCCATATGCAAGCAATTCCTGGAAGCGGACCTGCGAATGGCCACATGCCTCCTAACCCCATGGCTATGAAAATGGTGCCCCAGTCCGGAATGCAACAGTCAACTGCCACTCGACCTGGGATGCCAATGCAAACGACTCCAGACAACACTCGGGTCATCCGGGAAGCCAACCGCCTTCAAGAGCAACAACGGCTCTTACAATCTAGGCAGCAACCGCAACACCCGCAGCCTCAACCTCAGCAACCTCAGCAGCAATTTCACAACCAGCAACAGTTTGTGGGCCAGGGATCTCATTCCCCGAATATGAACGTACCCAATGTTAATGGGACCCCGAACAATCCCGCGATGATGGCTGCTCTCCAGGCTGGGGGTGGTATGCAAAGCCCATCATTTCACAACGCTACTCCCCAAGGAGTCTCTACTCCCTCACCCCGCATGGGACAGCCTAATCTGTTGTCAAGTGGGGTTGTACCGACCATTAGCAGCTTGCAAAACCAGATCCAGAGAACGCACCCCGGGATGCCCGCAGAGCAAGTGAATAAGTTGGCCACCGAACGATTGCATCAGTATCAACAGCAGAGAATGTCTCAGGTTGCAATGAATGCAGCCGCTGGGAATATTGGAGCCGTCCAGGCCAATTATCAGATGTCGCAAGATGGAAACTTTCAATCTCCTCCGAGCGGCATGAATGGTAGCCCTGGGATACAGATGCCTCAAACGCAAGGGTACTCGCCTATGATGCGAGTGCCTCAAACTGCTCAACAAAACCGAGTGGGCGTTGGAAACTCGCCGGCCATGAATGGAGTTGTCCCTCAACCGAGCCGCAGCGCAACACCGCAGACCCAACGCAGTGGCAGTGCTCAGGGTGGTCCTATGCCACCTTCGAACAAGAGCCCGAACCCTCCACAGGCTCAAACCGCTAGCAGCTAAGCTCCTTGGGCTTCAGAAGCACTGGCGGTTGGCAGCTCGTATCTACTGCACTTGTGCCTTTAATCTTCGTTTGTAAATATTTTTGACCCCTAACTCTTTATTGATTACCCATACCCTCCGCCCCGTGTCTCTACCTTTTAGCCTTTCTAACAACCGCGTGCAATATTATGCTACCTTCCATACCCCTTCACCTTACCTCTGTTTCATCACTCTTGCCCTCTTCACCACCTTTTACTACCTTGCCCCGCCTGACGTTCCCCCAAACTCTTACACGCCTCTACACTCTAGCATTGACTTTTGATATCATGCATTGGCATACGATTCACGATTGGTTGGAAGCATCTCCAAGCCACGATTCTGTTTCGTACCCTGTTACCCCTATTTTGTACTACATGTATTGATAAGACGGAGACGAAAGTACACATACGTACTTGGACATTGGTTGGCATGGGTGAAATACAATATCTAGAAAAGACATCAATGACTATGACTGTACGACTAGCTTATCTCATTATTATCACGATATCTTTCATCGATAGATAGCACCTGACTCCCGAAACGGGAACTTCACACATAAGCGCGCGCTTAAAAAATGGCATCGCCACCCATAACCGCTTTCCTTTAAGGATGCGACCTCTCAACGGTCGAAGCAGAAACAAACTGAATAATCTTTGTCGCCGAAGATTCAAGTCACGGTTTGCGTCCTGTCTGGTTATGGGTTCGCGTCATTTTACTTAACTGTTGCGATCAAAATAAAGACTCAAAACAATGGCTTCACACCTGCCGCGGGACAGCTCGTCGAAGCCTTTCTCACTATCGCTAGGCGGGGGATCATCAGCTTCAAATGGACAGACCAAGAAAACCACATTCAATCTCCAAAGATCTACTCGGGGAGCCGACACCCCCAGCCGAACACTTGCGCGCCGACCTCATCATCTCCATGACGATGAATCCGACGAAGAAGAGAGAGCGCCGGTGCATGAAGCCGTCACGGAATTCGATACAGAAACAGGGACCGCCGTATCTGCAGACAAAAAGGATGAAAAGCGCGAGCTAGTTATACCGGTCGCAAGCAACAATAATTGGCGGAATCGGCCCGGCGTCAGCCAGAAACCTAAGGGAAAGAATCTGCTCCCGAAGGAGGTCCAAGCGATACAGGAAGCTGCTAAGAGAGGCGAGATTGCCGGGGAAAATACAGAGACGGAAAGTCCGAGTACGGCTTACGGTCTTAGTTTCGCGCAGCAGCGGAGTACAGAGCAACATAATCAGGACGAGGCGGGCGATAAGCCGATGGAAGATGCCGAGCCTGCCAGTGAGGAGAAACAGAAGCCGCTTACGCAAGATGAGATTGCCCTTCGTGCGCTTATCCGTGAGAGTAAAGGCGAGACAGAGGGACGGTCGGATCTTGTCATTGAGTCTAGACCGGTGGACGGGGAGGAAGGTGGAGCTGGGGGACGCTACGATGAAACAACTTCGTTCCAGGCTGATATTGCTTCTCGGCCTGAGTCAGCAACACTGGATCAGTATAATGCGATTCCTGTAGAAGAGTTTGGTGCCGCTTTACTTCGAGGAATGGGCTGGAAAGAAGGCCAGGCCGTTGGAAAGGGGAAATATGGCTCCTCTGCGGTTCTCGATAAACCCCGGATTCCTGAGCGTCGACCGGGCTTTCTGGGTATTGGGGCGAAGGACGCATCGGGAGGTAAGGGGGCGGAAGCGGAGCTTGGTGCTTGGGGAAAGGCTGCAATGCGCAAAGGAGCTAGGAAAAATGGTAAAGAAGGCGAGACCAGCACAGAGGGTGTTTATATGCCGGTTATGATGCGGAATAAGAAGACAGGCGAGTCCATAACAGAGGAGGAACTCACAGCCTTGCAGAAGGAGGCAAAGTCAAAGAGAGATGATGATGAATGGAAAGAACGAAGGGAACGCAATCTTGAAAGGAGTGGACGTGACAAAGACCGGGATAGGGATTACCGGCGCCGTGACTACGAACGAGACGATGATGATCGTTCTGACAGGCGGAAAACGGGATCCTCCAGGAGAGACCGAAGTCATTCGAGACGACGAAGACATGACGATGACGATGGCGACAGTAGGGATGACCGGTCCTATCGGGATAGGGATCGTGACCGCGACCGTCGTCGCGAGCGCGAGCGCGATCGCAGTCGTGAGCGGGAGAAAGACAGAGAAAGGAGCCGCAGGTACCGGGATGATGATCGCTATAGTTCCAGCAGACACTCGTCCAATACATCAAGCAGACATGGTCGAGATCGGGATCGAGACAGTGACCGTGACTCTTACCGGAGACGGAGGCATGATAACAGGTGATATTCCCGATCAGCGATATTGTCGAAACCCTCATTATAGACTTGTTGAGATACAAATGTATTAGATACCTTGGATACCAACCACCATTGTCATTGCGGTATATAGTGATGTGAATTTTTATCCTATGTGAACACGACATAATGCTTCATCTCCCATCCTAAGTACCGATGATCATGGTACCTTGTAAGTCGCACCTGATATAACATTCTTCTTAGTTTATGTGGAGGGGGAAAGCGTAGTCCAAACTGGGCCTAAAAGATGGTATACAACACTACATAGTCTGGAGTACTTTTAGAAAGTATCAATTACCGGCAACAGAAGGTTGCCTCTGAGAAGACTTTTAAATACACTTTCCTCCAATAACGTATCAGATGTAAATGCAACAGTGCTCCAAGAGAATGCGCCGACATATCACAGTATTCCAAACACACAAATCATTTTGTCTATCTGTACATATCCTCGTTCACAAAAGTACAATCTTATGCTCCCAGCATGATAGTGTCCTTCTCATGCTCAGGTACATCATCCGTAGCACTGTCAGTAACATCCCGAGCGCCAGAGATGCCCAAGCCTCCGAGGCCTACACCCCCATCCATTTCTCCTAGAACCCATTCCACAAGGTAGCTTTCGTCCGTAAGCTCTTCGATTCGACGGTAATGCCTTTCTGTATATGCGGACAATGCTTGCAGAATGTCCTTCATACCGGCTGCAGTGCGACTGTCACTGCGTCGATTTGCCATGCTTGCTGTGGCGAGCTCGATGAATGTTGAGGCGGGATAGGACCTAAATAATGCAAACAAGATGCGTTGTGCAACACGGGAAGTACGAGCATTCGTGTTCCAATCACGTAACCGAAGAAGAAGAGTACGAAGGTTATTGGAGTCGAGAGTCTGCAGGACCTCATCAATCGCAGGGTTTCCGGTTAAACTGTTAGCACGCTCGCTCTTCTCTGCATCGGTTGAGGATGGATCGTCAGAAGCATCTACTGCAGCTGTGAACAGAGAGAGTAGCCTTCCGGGATGGTTGAGTTGGAGGGCTAGTGTGATGGCTTCACGGTACGCTCCAGCCCTGATATAATTTTCCAATTTCTGGTCTTGCTCAATACGGGCAGCATTCGCACTAACTGTAGCGGTGTAAGTCGCGGATGTAGTGTCAGTCCAGAATGTGACGGTGGAGTCCGCAGAGCCAGAGGCAATGGCATATGGGGATGAGATATTATGTGTGCTAGAAGAGAGAACATCAGCACGGGAGCCGGAGGGTGTCGGGCTCGCTAGTGCCCAGACTCTGTCTGTGTGGTTATCGAGTGTGGTCTCGAGTTCTCCCGTGTATGGGGACCAGATTTTGACCAGACCATCTGCAGCTGCAGACGCCACGAGAGGGCGCGCCTGTGTGGCATTGTTTTGTGCCGGCGCCGATTCATCTTCATCTTCATCATCTTTCTTGGTTGACAAATCTGAAGGCGGAAGCCAAAGCACCTTGAGCACGCTGTTCGTGTGGCCCTCAAAAGTAAGGAGACAGCTATAGTCCGATAAACTCCATAATTTGACAGTTTTATCGCCAGATCCAGTAACTATCAGACCCCTGTTTGTACTGCTCTGTGCGCTGGAGCTAATGACGGGGGTGCCATGGGGAGAGAATCGCGCCGACCAGACTCCTCTCTTGTGTCCGCGGAGGATACCTACAACCGATCCTTCTTCAACTGACCAGATCTTAACAGTACGATCTTGTGAAGCAGATGCAAATAGAGTCGATGTTGGATTGACATCCAAAGCATTAATATCTTTGTCGTGAGCTTTGCGGGTGAAAACCGCCTTTGGGGTATGCGGCTTGGAAGAGCTGAGCGGAGCCAACTTGCCTATATCCCATCGCTTAATAGTGCGGTCTTGAGAACCAGTGAGTAGGAATTGTGGAGGATGGCTCAGAGGGTCATTTCGTGCAGGTGTGTTAGCCGGTGGCGGGACGCGAGGGAAACTTATAGCACCCAGAGACTCGGCATGACCTGTCATAGCAGCAAAGCAGGTGTAGGTGGACGTCTTGGGATCAAGACACCAAAGACGAGCTGTGTTATCTTTTGCGCCCGTCGCCAGCCAGTGGCCGGACCAATCCACATCAATGCATATGATGATGTCGTCGTGGCCTTCAAGATGAGCGATATCTGCGCCAAAGTAATCCTTTTCTTTATCAGACGGCCTGTCCTCGGATCGTCCCACCGAAACCAGCCTAACACTCTCAGTGTTAGTAGCCAGTGCCAGCATTGATCGATCTGGGCCGACATATGCAAGGTCAATAATGTCGTCGTCGTTACCCGAGATACGCCTTATGACTGGTAGGGGATCAAGCGAAGATCCAGGCTTGAAATCCAACAAGGGTTCAAGTGAATGAAGTCTCAAGGTTTGATCAGCATGTACGGTCATTGCGAATGGTATCCCCGGGGTGTATTGGATTGCCATGATGGCCTCGAACTCGGCAGCAGCTTCTTGCTCATGGGTTACCTCTCCTCCCCGGTTACAATCCCAGACACGCAACACTCCATTTTCACCTCCTACTAGAGCAAGCCCGCTGTCGGCAACAAAGGCGGCCGCTTCCACGCTTTCAAGAACAGGAATGATTCTGCGAGTTTTAAAAGTGCGGACATCCCATACGATGACAGTCTTGTCTCGGCCCGCTGAGAGCAATGCATTTTCTGCAGGCGAGTACGATAAGCTCCGTACAACCGAGACATGAGAATCGAGTGACGCTATAGATTTCCGCTTGTTCAGATCCCACACCCGTACCTTGCCCTCCTCACTGCCCGAGGCAAGTCGAAATCCTCCAATAGACGCGACAGGGGTAGCATCTTCCATGTCCTCATCCTCATCAGAATCATCCGACTTCCTCTTGGATTTCTTTTTCTTCGAGGCGGACTTGCTTTCGCTATCTTGAAACGGCACCTGGAAGAAGCACAAAGCAGATATGACACCAGCATGGCCATGGAAAGTGTGCGTAACATAACCACCTCGAATGTCCCAGACCTTGATTGAGCCATCAGAAGCACCGGTTGCCAGAAGAGTGCTAGTCTGGTCGATAGCGGTTGTCACAACGGGTGCAGTATGGGGCTTAAGGCTTCGCACAAGCTTCGCGTCGAGGGTCCGTGAAGAATCTTCGAAGGGAGTCAACGAATAAATGCGCATAGACATTGATCGCGAGCAAACGACCACATGTGAAGCGGATGGCGTGACTAGTATATGGTTAGATATGCTCTACTTGAATAAGTTGAAATGTAACAGGAACAGCGCTAGGATGTAGAGTGGGCAACTCACTAGCCAAGCTGGTGATAATCTCTCCATCCTATAGTTTGGTTAGAAACTTGCGACAACACCGCACAGGAGCAAATGGGAACAGAACTCACTCCTTCCAAGCTTGCGAGCTGATCACCAGTCTCAAGATCTACAATGAGAGCATCTTCGCCCACACAAGCTACTAGCAAACGTCCACTGGCATCTAGCGCAGTACTTCCTCCGGTGTATATGGGACGCAAAGTCCGAGACGCCTCGAAGGTCGTCTTAACGACAGCTTTAGACATTTTCGCGCGCGGATCTCAGAAATAGTGTCGCCGTGTAATCTATCGCGCCATCATATATCCAAGATAAAATGGAAAGTATAAGTGGGTTGAATCGCTTCAATGCAGTCGAAAGTACTGTCGCTCCGAAACTTTTGTTCTTTTTTTGAGACGTTTGTCTTGTTTGTCACAAAAAAGGCCGATCGCAGCGGGGCCGTGCTTTAGGCGCTACAGGCGCGGCAGGCGCCCACGTGAACATCGATGTCCATTCGATAACATCGTCTTGAACGTCAATATCTTATTCTCCAGTCCTGCCAAAAAATGATCTAGAGAGGCTTTCAAAAAGTTTACTTGCTATTATACGCCATGGGGCGACAGGCGTACTTGAACCGATTGGCTTTGGTAGGCTCCCAGTTCCCTATCCGTTGCTATCCTCTTGGCTTGTGTTAGTTCTATACTACTTCATCAATAACGAACGCTTCTGTTCATTGCTCCTCTCAAATATTTACCCTCAGATCTCTCCGTGCAACATTTATGAAGTCATTTACTATTAGAATGTCAAATATAAAGCACTGTCGGCTGGTGTCATCGCATACCTCTCTATAGTGCCACATGATCGTATCATATTCTGCTATCTTATTGTTTGCTCTAACTTTTAAGCTTCTGATAATTGACTGTTAATATTCAGGGTCGTTCTCCATATGAAGCTCCTGAGCGCCCTGCAGATCCAGCGGTGGACCTGGGCAGCCCAACCCAACAGAGGGTATCTCCTCGGTATGCGGATGGGTATGTTCAACACTATGATGAGAGGGGGCATCCCATCAATCCTGAGTCCAAATCATTCGGGAGGGAGCTGCGGAGAGCTAAGAATGACATCCTCTCAACGATGGGTATCGTTGTTAGCGAGGACGGCAATGCGAGTGGCCTCAGTGAACAGCAGAAAATCGATATAATAGCTGCCGAGAATGACTACGGACTGGTTATGGCTACTTTAGATCATGTTTCGGCATTCTTAGGCTCGTGGTGGACATCGTCACTTACAGGTCGGATACAGGTACGTTTAATATGGTGAAAGGTGAAGTTTACTTTACCCAGAGATTTGATTCATAAGTCTTGTTCTGCAGACATTCAGAAGCTACACTCATATTCCCCTGATGGGTATCATAGCCCATGAACGTGCTTCATATGGCATATTGGGGTTTTACTTCGCAGGGATTCCAGCATGGGCTCTATCGACATGCTTATCAATTTGCCGACATCATCCTCTCGAGCGCTTAATTTCCTCATTGCAAAGCAGATTTCCTGACAATGACGTACTTTCGAAACTTGTGCGATCATCATTTACAATTCTACATTCTGCGTAAGTGGGTTCCGAGACGTCAGATGGTGTTAAAAGAAACTAATGGTTGCATAGGGCTCGGGGAACATTACTTGTTCTCGCTATACAATCTTATGTGTATTCACTCTTACAATCGCTTCACCTCGTTCATCCGTATGGCTTCCCAGGAATCCGGTTTCTGGCACCTTTGGGAGAACTTACCACAATGTTATTGCCACCCATACCTGCAGCCTTCACCTTGCAGTCCGTGGGCGATTTCTGTTTGAACTTACTGAAAGCCCCTCCACTTCTCGTCTACCTTTACGTCTATCTTCGTCCAGTTATCGAGATAAGGCTTTACCGGTTAATTCGCCGACGACTACCAAAACCAACGCTTGCGGATGAGCTATCCATCAAAGTGGCCCTCGAGAATGACCTCATCGATTGGATGGCCCCAACCCTTGGGCGCAGATCTGAAGAAGAGAATCGTCGTAACAATCTTTCTTTGCTTGAAGATCTCATGTGTGAAGTAAAATTTCTTCAGGGCTGGATGCTATCGTGGTTTGGCGTTAAGACGCAACGAACATCAGCAGCCCCCGAACAAGCTGCTGACTCCCGCCGCAGACAAGAATGGCTTGAATCCTTACCTATAAGCGTCGAGCAACTGCAAAATGAACGACAAAACCGAACTCGCCGGTTACAACAAGCAGTACCTCCAGCTCCAGAAGAGGTGGTCCAAGCTCATGAGGCCGCACGCTCTGGTCAACCCAGCACGCCTGTTACTGCCCCAGTACCCGATTCCGGATTTGACTTCAGCGGTGACCGTGTACTATCGAATGAGGACGAGATTCATCAGTCACCAGCACAGATGAGCACTGGGGGTCTTTCAGAGATGGCTCCACTAGGCCGTACAAGCGATTCTTCTCCCGCTGCTAATGTTTCTCCCGCCGTAAACACTGAGGCGCATGGCGAACATGATGCTCACGAAGGCCAGCGGAACTCACGCTCAAACACCCTTTTCTCTCGACAATCATCCCCCGAAACGTCTTCACCAACTTCTCCTCATGTTCGTGCTTCTTTAATTCACCAGAACTCTGATATCATTACTATGCAGTTGGAACTCTTGGGCAACCGTAATGCTCAGAACCCGGGCCAATTGCGTCCTCGGCCTGGTAATGATATCGACTTTCCAACTTCTAATGGCGAAACAGGTCATCGCCGCTCTATCACAGAGCTCTTGGACACAATCCTAGCTCATCAAAACCAAAGCCTCTCTACAATTGTCCATTCGGATGCCGTGGACAGCGATGGCCTCTCAAACATGACGCCAGGCGCATCTCCTGGAAATGGGGAAGATGTGCTAGGCCTGGTGCCTCAAGGCCAACAAGAAGCTCGAGGAATACATGATTTTACCGCCGAATCTCCTGTCGAAGGGCCGTCGTCAAGTCTTGCCAACATACTGCCAGAAAGTGTGGAAGAGCCGCCCAGCCAGGAAGATACTCGTAACCATCCCTCCGAAGCGGAGCCAACTGGGGAGAACGATTTCGATTCAGGCATATACCCCCGTATATCCGATCCAAATGTGCGCGAAGGTCCTTCGGAGAACACAAATTCTTCAAGTGCCCACCGGATAACAATACTATCGTCTCATCCTGTCGATTCTCTTGCCTCTCATCTCGCGTCGATGATCACCACCGTGCTTTTCATTCCCCTCGAATCTCTCTATCTTCGCTCTCTTGCTTCATCCTATCTATCATCTAATGCATCGTCCGCTGCTGATGTCCGCACCCTAGGGGCTTTGGGCGGTGGTGGCTCTCGGTCTGACATGCTTGCATACATGGGTAAATTAGCTCTTATGATGGGGCTGCACGCTGCTGTAAATGCTGGTGTATGGGGAGTAATCTCAGGCACAGCAATTAGGATTGGCAGAAGATTCTGCGGATGGGGAACACTATGAGTATTTTGTTGGAATGCCCACTATAGATACCCACCTATTTGTATTGCGATTTGGGCGAAGCAGTTCAGTCAGTTGAATCATATATAACAGAACATAATACTGAAGCCTATGGCCACATCATCATCAATGCTGAAAGGCCCTACCGGATTTTATATTTACATTACCTCGCTTCAAATAATGTAGAAAAGGACAAAATACCCAAACACTATTTTTTTTCTATCATCATCATTACCTTAATTATACAAACGGTACTATGACACCAAGCTGGGAACGAACTTACATACATACACATCACATATTAAGAACTAACACCAGTACCTAACCACCTGTGGAGCTGGAATGTATTCGATGTGGATGATGACGTCCCAACATCTATTTTGCTGGGTTCTTCCCCTTCCGACTGTTCATGCCCGGGACCTTTCGCCGCTCCCAAACCATAAGATATCCCTCTCGGGTGAATAGGGTTTCGGTTTCTGCCTTCTTGACGAACAGATCCTGGACCTCAAGCCACTCCGGTCCTTGCTGTTCACCAGCACGCTCGCTGTGTTGTCGACTATTCTCCGCAGACATAGCCTTGTCGTGAAGCTGGACCATCCACGAAACCTTCTCGCTGCCTGCACCAGCGCCGGTCGATGATGACCCAGATGCTGCGTTAACACCCTTATCTGCGGCTGCCTCGTCGGTGGCACCAGGAACAGCTACAGCCGGGTCCAGGATAATGTTGGCGACGAGGTCGTAAAGGATCGGTTCACCTGGCGGCCAAACGTCCGGGTTCGGTTCTACGTAGGGCGACATGTCCAAGGAGCGGGGTGACGGAAAGGTGACAATTGTCGGGTTACGTTCAGATACGAATCTGTTCTTGCTGAATCGCTTGATATGGAATAATAGGTAAGGTGGAAGGGGGTGAAGAAGGCGGTGGCGGACTCGATGAGCCAGCTTCTCTGAAGCAGTGATGCCGTTGTACTTGTTTAGTAGTGTTGTCAGAGGAACATGGGGAATGATTGACTCCCGATTGGCGGATTGGAAGAGAGGAGTGGGAGGTAAATCTAATGTGAGGATGAGAAATGGAGTGGTCTGGCTTTTAATGTCGCCAGATTCCGTAAAGACTAGACGAGCGTTTTGGGTATCTGAGTGAGCAGTGATTGCTTGGCTTTCAATCTTCAGGTGGCCTTGGAATGCGGCCTGAACCACACTGGTTGGTGTCTTGGAAGGTTTCTTAGAGCCCCCGAGTGAAAGATGCAAGTTGTTTAGGAACCATGACATAAACTCCACCGGGTCAGACTGTTGGGTCAGTGTGAAGCGCTTTGATGAACGAAGAGCAATCTCCTGTAGCAACTCGTGCGGCGACACATGGGATCGGAAAGCCTTTGGATTCCATAGCTTTCGCACTAGTGTGCTGAAGCGCAGAGCTAATTGAGGTGTGCCAGGTGTCGGGAACTCATGTAGCAGGAAGTAGTTGCGGATTGGAAAAACATGCGCCAAAAGTTGCACGACCACATTCAAGTAGTCATTGGCTTTGATGTTGTTCATACCAACGAAACCTATGTAAAGGGTCAATAATGCTCTGGCGGAAAGTAATCTATGGTTATGAGCATACCTGGTCTATAACGATTTCCTGCGAGATCGAACGCATCGTGTACCTCCTTGTCTAGCTTGGAGACCTCATCCTTGCTATAGTGCGGGTCTACCACGTACTTGATATCATCCAAGCTCTTATTTTTCACTTCATAGCCCTCCGGAAGGACATACACCTTCTTGGTCCCCATATTGATAAAAACATGATGGCCGACTTCAAGCGCATGGAAGTAAGCATGCGACTTCGGGCCCCTGCCTTGAAAGTATTTGCCGCAGACAAGACACGCATATACATTGATATTCGAAAGGGTAACCGAGCACAGTTTTTCGAAATCGAAGTCAAGAATTTCGCGATTAATCGTATCAAGATAAAGATCGCTATAGCCCTCCATAGGTGCACTTTGGCGCTTGGGAGCCGCAATTACAGGCCTGTCATCGTCGGCATCATCGAAATCGGACTCGGCGCCATTATCCACCGCCGCTTCTTCCAGCTCTTCACCCTCCTGGTCCGCAGCAGCTAGGATATCATACCCTTTGCGTTCATCCTCTTCTCTCTCTTGGCCGCTCGCCCGTCGTAATGGAAGGGCTCCATGGCGCGGATCACCTTCCTCGAAGTCGTCCTCCACACGGGCCTTTTTAATAGCAGGAGAACCGGCGACAGTATCTTCCTCGAGCGACAACTCAGCTTGCCTCTTGGACATCATGACTCTGTGTAAAGGTGAATTAGACACGAAGATTCTGGCTCCGCGGGATTGAAAGCTGGAAGACGCGATGGGCCCGCGGAGTGCAAACACGACAAACACCCGCTGCGTACAGCGTCATACATGATACAGTGAGTAAATCCGTGTGGAGCATTGTGACAATACGACTGAAGAAGCAAACGTTCAAAGGGTCATTTCTCTTATTCTCTACCTCGAATAGATTTGTGGGCGAGACTACAAAGTCATGAAAAATACCCTGCCATGCAACCGATCGTCTGAAAACCAAGTCCCGTAAACCGAAAACAAAAGACAAAAATGGTATGATATACAACACCGCATTAAGCACTCTTGACGATCTTGTCATTATCAAAGTCTACTTCCCTCACGCCATCTTTGGTCACAACCTTTACCAAAACCTGAAGAAAGCCAGTTAGCCAATATTGTACCAATTAAATAGGAATCTCGTTTTGCAACGTACCCCCTTGTAGTCAATCGGCAATCGACGCTTTAGCTCGTCTGTGCACATCACTAGAAGCTTTAAGCCTTCTTCGAGGGAAATATCGGGGTGGTGGTGTTTATCGAGTGTTGAGAGACAGTAGTATCTAGAGTGTCTTAGTTCCGTGCTCCTCCACAGCGACCGAACTGGCAATGAAGAATTGATCTTCAAAACTTACTGGGCATAACCATGAGCGGCATATGGTACTGGTGCCAAAGAAGCCAGATAGTCTATCCAGTACAGGTGAGGCTTCTCGGTGATTCCATCGACACCAGCGAGCAGCAGGTTGACCGTGTATGGACTCCGAGATCGCAGACTGCGCGCAAGTTCTCCTCGGACAAAGTTGGCAACGGCGTTCGGTCCAAGTTCGGTATCATTCCGCATAGTATATAGTTGGATGTTCGCCTGAATATACTCCGCAAATTGCACTGTATCGGGAGCAAATTAGCTGTGCCATGCTTACACCCCTCCATCTCCACATATGTAATCCCACGCACCGGTATCTCCTGCCTCTCCCGAGAAAGCCATCAGACTGTGTTTGTTGAGCTGTCGTGTCTTATCATCTTCGGCCTTAAGAATAGTTGGGCCCCTCATGGCGGCTTTGGACGCTGCCACCAGGACAAAGTCCTTGCCGGTGATACCCAATAGAACCTCCCTAGAAGCTTCAATCAGCCGAGAGGATTCTCATCAACATACAGAGGTTCGCATACATTTTCAAGCTTTAAGTGTATGTCAAGAAGATATAGAGGTCAGGAAAAGTGCGAGAAGAAAAGGAGATGGAGGGAAGGTGAGAGATTCAAGATGATGGATCAATCAAGCATTACACGCCGCGCGGAGCTTGATTGCCTGGAGCTGTGCTTGCGAGCCTGAGGCGGAGAGCTGCTCGGCTGAGTCAGCAATTAGGCGTTACGTTGTTGCGCTTTCCACCTGCACGGACCACCGGCAGAAAAAAAGTGAAAGTTAGTTGCGCATCAAAAAGAATTCCGAACAGCTCTATCGTTTCCACCCGCCCCAATCGATTGTGCGTAGCGTCGGAGGTCCTGTTGCGCGGAATTCAGTTGATTATACCGGATTATGTCGTCCTTTTTCACATTACCCGCTTCCCAGCGGAAGCGCAAGAGGGAAGACCGCGCCGGAGCCCCCGCGTCGAAGAAACGAGGTGTTGATGCAGATGGAGATTCAGGCGCCAAGGGCAGTAGAAGGACTAAGGGACGGGAGCAATCAATTTCGGGTAGTGACTTGGATGAGGATGATGCCGAGAGCATTGTATCTGGAGTTTCAGGAGAAGAGAGTGATTCGGACTCCGACGAAGGAGAGACGGCCGCAGACCGGAGATTAAAGCTTGCTGAGAGATATTTGGATAATGTTCGGGATGAAGTAGATGAATATGGCTTCGACGCAGCAGAGATTGATCGAGATTTAATTGCTGAGAGATTAAAGGAGGATGTGGTATGTGCCCTCAGTTTTCGCTACCCGTGAGATCAGCCAACAGCTGATTCCTAGCGCAGGACGAGTTCAAAGGGCGCACATATCGTCAGATAGCTTCAGATCTGTCTTTCTCCGCAGCCTCGCATTCATTCTTCCGGGCAGATACCCAGTCGACAACGTCCATTGCCGTCCATGCACCATATGTTTATACGGTGTCGAAAGATAAAACGTTAATCAAATGGGAGCTTGCCACCCCCAGTCACGCAACCGCAGATTCTTCAGCAGGTGGACAAAACAGCTCATCGAAACGCCCGCCAAGACCACAACGGAAGAAGCCTAAGCAGGTGAGGTTTACGCGGGGCCTGCAAAAGATTGCTGAAAGTGATGAGGAGCATGGTCACACTAAGAATATCTTGTCCGTGGCTGTATCGCCATCTGGAAAGTTTGTTGCTACTGGTGGAGAGGATCGGAAATTGATAATCTGGGATGCAGAGACATTGACCCCCTTGAAGACGTTTACACAGCACCGCGACTCGATCAGTGGGCTTGCCTTTGCTCGTCATATCTCTACCATGAGCTCCGGAGAACAACTATTTTCTGGTTCTTTTGATCGGACTATCAAAACATGGTCCTTAAGCACTGCAGGCCATGCATACGTTGAGACATTGTTTGGCCATCAGGACCATATCTCTTCTCTCGCTGCGATGACAATCGATCAGTGTGTCAGTGTCGGAGCCCGCGATCGCACCGCCAGATTGTGGAAGGTCGTAGATGAGTCTCAGCTAATCTTCCGTGGAGGATCTTCCAAGCACTCCTACCAAGAAAATAACCTTGACTGTGTGGCACCTTTGCCTCCGAATCACTTCGTTACCGGTTCGGACTCTGGTGCGATCTCCCTTTGGTCCGTCCATAAAAAGAAACCACTTCACACAATAACTCTCGCCCACGGTCTGGACCCTCTACCTCCGCTCGATGAGCTGTCTTCAGAAGTCGATCCAAAAATAGCCGCGTCGAATGCCCGTCACATGCGGCGTAATCCTCGCTGGATCACCGCGCTGGCTACGCTCCCAGGCACCGACATCGTGCTTAGCGGCAGCTGGGATGGATGGATTCGCGCATGGAAAATTTCGGAAGACAAGAGAACGATCATCCCACTGGGGCCCATTGGCGGAGCCTCATTAGAACCTGATACCCCATCTCAGCAACTGAAACAGTCCCTAGCCTTCGACAGCCCAGTCGACGCAGACCAGATGGCCATCGACGGGTCAAAGCAAAAAATGGATGAGATTAAAGAAGAGGCCGAGCCACTCGTCAAGGGCGTCATCAACGGTATTGCAGTTTTCGAACGTCGTGCAGAGACCAACAAGCCCGGCCAGTCCAAGCCTAAATCGAAGCCCGCCGAACCAGAGCCCCGAGGTCTCTGCATTGTCGCAGCAGTGGGCAAGGAACATCGCTTTGGCCGCTGGAAAGGCTTCGCGAACAATTACCACGAGGGATCTGCACCCGATGGCCGTAATGGCGCTGTGGTATTCGAAGTCCCTTTCATAAACGGTAACCCTCAATCGAAGTGAGGTGTATTCATGAAATGGGATGAGGTTATTGTGACATGGCGTGTGTATCCACATCTTTCTCTACCTTGTATTTTATTCCCGGGGCGGCGGTCTTTACATATCTTTTAGAGGAAGAAAAAAGTTCTCTGCATTGGAAGCTGTCCCTTGGGCTGAAGGGCGTTGGGCCTTGTATATAGGCGTACTGCAATGATTTTGAATGGGTTATGTTTCTAAAGTTACCCACCATTAAAGGATCCAATATATCACCGATAGTCAATCTCTGTCAGGTGAAATTAAACTCTTGACGCTTCTTGCGTTAAGAGCGTGCCCTAAGAGAAGAAATACTCCGGAAAGCCAGCACTAAGACCCAGAAACACTGATCTTCAAAGGCGACTAGTATAATAGTTTCAGCGAAAATATCAGCTACAGTTGGCGTAAACCTACTAATATAGACCCTGAGAAGCATACTTCAAGTTGTTTTGATAGAAATTCTCATCACGTTTCGTTCCATCACGCAGCAATTCCTGAAGCCCGAACTACTAGTGATGTTGATACATACATGCTAAAATTAGCATGGAAAGGAAGCCCGCTAGGATTATAAAAAAGGAAATAACGAAAAAAGAACTGATTAACCAATGCACAAGGTAACCAGAAAGGAATCACGCAGAAAGTAGCTGGGGTATAGAATGGGTTGGGTCTTAGTGTTTCTTCTTTGTAGTCAAATAGTGGTTGATGAGCGAAGAGCCTTCTCCTTGCCAGTACCAGTCTCATGTACCTTTTGGGACTAAATGTTTCAACCCCTTAAGGTGTAATTATAACAGCTAGGCTTAGTCGGGCGTGATCGAACATCCGGATCAGAGTTATCCTTGAGATGTAAAGTCCAATACATGGATGTCGAACTCTGAAACACACGCCCTTATGTAGCCGCACTAATCCATGCAGCCTGTTCCTTTGTCCGACCTGTCTCTATCTGCCCTTAAAAAAAAGCTATAGATAACGAGTCCTATAAGATCCACCTTGAAGATCATCCGGGATTATGGTCAAATCGTATCTAATGTAAGGGTAACGAGTGTTAACGAGCGCCATGCCGACAATTCCTTCGGAACGGTCGAACTGGGCCTTCGTCAGAATCATCGTCTAGAGTTATTGCATTCGAGGCGGAAGTTCCTGCCGTGTTTGTAGTTTGACTACGTGATGCCTGCCGGCGCATCGCGTAGGGATCCACGTTCGGAGCTCGCGGAGCTCGACTCGAGAGGACAGGCGAGTTTGAAGCCCCATTAGAGGCTGGGAATACGCGGCGCCGATTTCCACTTACGGGAGGGCGGATAGGCTCATCATCTTCATCCTCGTCATCCTCGTCATCCTCTTCGCTATCTGGGATCTCGTCTAAGCTACTCAGATCATCATCGGTACAGTCGTCGGCCAGAGGCATGGTCATCTCTGAGCTCAACTGGACTTGATATTGATCTGGCAAGTATCGCGTTTCAGGACCTCCAACTACCGTAGATCTGTCCGAGTCTGAATCGTGATCCTGGTCGATATGTTCATCGTCATCAATAAACGAGTCCATGTCTGTGTCTTCCGAGTAGTCGTCAGTCTCTTCGGTGTCATGAGCAGTTGAAGACGTGTCATCGATGTGGCCATTGTGCGCAAAGACATGGCGGTGTGGCGGATGGTGCTGATGATAATCGCGAATTATGTTGTATAAATGACGGGGAATAACTTCAACTCTCCCCTGAATAGGAACCCCATTCTGGAAACCGTTCCAATTGAAATCGTCTAATTCGCCGAATCCATCTTCGAGTTCGTCATCCAAGTAGTCCGTCATCTCAGAATTCTCCTCTGAATCGGTTAAAATTGAAACGGTTGAACGTGAATCGGTTGAATCTGATGCATCTGATGCATCTGATACGTCTGATGTACCTGTAATAGCCCATTCATCTCGTCGGTATCCACACTGTGCGCAATTTGAGTCTTCCAATTCCCATGAACAGCGCGGGCAGCGAATGACATTATCCTCCAGGTCAACGATGGGCTGCGCGACGGGGAGTTTTTTGTTGAATGCGCCGCGGAATAATCCGCCCACTTTGGGATGTGTGTTCTTCTTATCGTTTTCCAACTTTTCAGCTTCCTCACGTTGATGGCGCGTATGCTCGGCCGTCGTCTCTCCCTTTTCTAAAAGCTCTGCACGACTCGTGAATAGTTGGACAACAGCACGGATCTATACGCGTTAGGTACCAGATGATTAAATCAGGGTTTTATGGGCTTTCAAGGTACCTACCAAGTATGCAGGGGCAGGTGGTGTTTTGACCGGAGCTCGGCAGTCGGGGCATGTTTTATTGGATCTCCCGCCAGCAAACCATGACGTTAAACACTAAAGCTCGGAGGGTTAGCACTCTAAGAAGACGATCATACAGATCAGGGCCACAAACACTATAGCAAAATGAGTGTCCACAGGCAAGGGTGAAGGGTTCGTACAGTGGCCTTATGCAAATGCCACATTGTAAGAGCGCGCGGATATCGTCGACATGTCCCTGTAATGTTTCGGAGAGCTGAATAAGAAGCAAATTAGTGCCCTTTCCTTCAGAACATATACTATTACGGCTCACCCCTGGGACATCACCTCCAAGCGTCGCGTTTGTGTTGTTGGAACCCTGTCCGGACCTGGTTCCGACGAGAGTTGACTCGGACATTTGCGCAAGACTGTCGGAACGGATCCCGATAAGAAGAGGGAGCCAAAAAGTTTTCTTGAAATCGTTCCGCGAATTTTGTGAGGAAAAACTTGTCGGTGTATTGGGAGAAAGAGACGTGTCACGACAGGTGGTGGCTAGATATATGGGCTCGTTTTTTTAAATAAGGAAGGGTGTAGCCGGCATGACGGGGAGGGGGCGGAGTTCGAGTTTACTTTAGAGCTGTGAGTGATAGGATGAGGTAGGCGATAAGAGACGGATGTATGAACGGCGCTTCTGATGTCGTTTAATTGTTTATTCCCGGTAAGCTGGGGTTGAAAGTAAAGCGAAACGAAGAAGGAAAACAAGAAGCCATCAGGATTGGACTGCAGGAGTGCATGCCTTGCCTTTTTTTTTGCCTTTTCTTTTCGGAAGCTTTTGCGCAAACCGAACAAACAGTCGAGACGCTGGGTTTAAAGTCCGATCGAATTCTCCACCGGAATGGACTAAAGTTTAGTCCCTCACTAGTGAATGAAAGCCGATCAATCATGGCTTCCTTCACTTCCCTTCTCGCCAACAAACTCTCCAACATCCTCCATCCCGTTGTCTCTAGCTACGTGGTACGCGCTTATACAATCACCAGAAGATTGCAACATAAGATTGTTGTCACCATTCCCCCTCATACTGTCGTTAGAGCGCAATGGAGTGTCGAAGACAATCGAATAATTAATCCGTTCTCTCTTTTGTTCCGCCAGCTTCTCGCTACTCCGAGGGTGAAACTCCGTAGACTACAGTTCGAATGTATTGTATAATATTAGCATACCTACGGCACCTTGAATGAAAAAATAGGAGGGAGAGGCGGAAGAAACAAAATAAAAAAGAAAAATTACTAAAGGAAACAAATAGGCTATTTAGGCCCATTGTATTCCGTTGTCGATAGGAACATGATGGGTCTTTCCTCATCCCCCACAATAACCGCTGGTACAAAGCCATCGCGACAAGATCAACCGTGATTACCATTTCAATATCATTTTCTTTATTCCTTTTGTTTTTATTTCCAGGCTACTGCACTTCTTCCGCTCTCCAGTCTTGCGGGAGATTGCTTGTCACCAACAACGAGAGATCATATTAGCGCTAAGACTGTTAGATGCGCGTAATGGTGTGATATCATGCAAGCCCGGCGCTTCAGCCGTGATAATGTCATCCCATTTTATCCATCCTTAGCCTCCACCTCCACCCGACCACTTGTAGCCTACTCCGCTAGGTTAGTTAGCTAGTACTTGTGTCTGAGTCTTGATTAGTACTCCGTACAAAGTTCTTCAATCGACAGCTCAACCGGTGGCAAGCGAATAAGAGATTAACCCTTTCAGGGTACAAGAGTCGCTCAATATTGTTCATGGTAAGTACTATATCACCAGTGAGAGAATCAATTATAATCAATATGGTTATTCCAGTTTCACAATTTTAATATTTTTGGTATCTTTGTACGAGTAAAAGAAGTATAACTTGGAATTATGGACTCGTTAGTTACGATGGAACAGCATGACTAAAGAGATGTCTGTGCCAAGACCTTCAATTGTGGGGCCAAACTTCTCCAGGAACAAACCTACATTGACTCGGGAATAGTACTCCTAGTAAGAACCGCACCACTTTATCATCCATACTGGCCAACGCTGTCGCCTGCATCAATCACATACAATTGACCCCTTTTAGCCACGCAATCATGGCGTCCACATCAGATCGACAATCCGATTCATCGGGACAAGACCATCCTAATTCTTGGTCAAACACGGAACAGAGATTCACGAAGTAGGTCGTCCAGCTATCTTCTACATTATCAACGCCAGAAGTACATCTCACGGATGTTCCTTATGTCAAAATCTTTACATCATCATCTTCTTCATCATCATCTTTTCTAAGAGGGGTCCTGTTTCAAAAATTCTTAAAGTCAAGTCACTCGTAGTCTCTTGAATCAGGGTGCACATGTCATGAAACCTGAGGCTTGATTCTTAGCTCAACCTTTTCTTTTTGACTCATTTGGGCTCTTCTTTTTTTTTCTTCTCCTATTTTACCCTATTTCCCATAAATTTACTGATGACATACTCCATATTCCAGCAAGAGTGCAAGCGAGTACTATGATCCATGCCAAGATTTCGCTGATCGGAGTTTGAAATGTATGAAACGGAACAATTTCGACAGGGAAATGTGTCACGATTACTTCCAGTGAGTATCTAGCCCTTCTATGTCGATATAGTACGGTGCTATAGACCTAGAGATGGGCCTCCTATCGGCGAGCTAGTAGTCGGATGCATTCACATGTTTCCTGCCACGTTCTTACCAGAACCTGTAGCTGACTCAAATGCGTGGTAGGGCTTACCGTGACTGCAAAAAGCAGTGGGTATGTATCTATATATCTCTCAAGCTAATTTGCGTTGATATTCCCAATCTATTTCCTACCCTCGATGGCTCAATGGCCTAATCCTGCCCATCTCAGTAGAACTCTATTTTAGGCCTACTTTGCTAATGATATCACAGTTGACACAGAAAAAGCTTTCTGGGTAGTCTCACCAGAGCTAGAGTGCCAGGCGATCAATATCCCCGGTGCCTGAAAGGATTTCCTTCTGGTCTTCATCAGCATTGCACTACACATCTCGGAGCCGGGCTATCCTATTGAAAGATACTGGTAAGAAACTGGGCGATCGAGCATCTCGAGCTGAAACATACCATTGGTTGGCACATAAGCTTCTTCTCCAATTGATACAGCTTATGTCCTTATCGTGGATGTTCGTCTCTTCTTTTTTTTTTTTTTTTCCCTTGCTTTTCGGCAGAGGGGGGATGATAGTTCTGATTGTCTCGACAAGGTTCTGGATAGATGTCCTGAAGTCTGTACACTATAATTATATTCTAAGCTACCGATTCTGAGATGACTGGTCTTTTCGCTCTATATATGTACCATAGAAATACTTAAGCAATCACTTTTTGTAAGATTTTTACCACATGTGAGAACGTTATGTTATCATGTTAAAATTGGTGTATATAGCCTTTTCAACCCTTGATGTATGTTGAGGGCAAACTCAGGTTGTTGTCCACGGCACTAACCTCATTTAATCATTAATTTATTTTTCATTATTGATTCTTCATACACTTTTTTGTTTGATAAGTCGATATGATAAAGGCAGCGCTTGAAATTGTGGATAATGCGCGCCTATATTCTTTATCGATCACCGCCTTCCAGTTCACGCCCACCACGCCGAGGGGCCAAACTGTTTTCAACTCCTAAGAATTCCTTCCCCTCATTATCCCGCCGTCCTATCTTCCCCGCACATCGTGTGCTGTGCTTGGTTGCGCAGCATACGAACGCCGATCCATTATTACAAAATAGGAATCCACGTCCAACCGCTGCCAGGATTGATCTAGAGTCAGATCTGATCTTCTCTCGCCATGTCCACCAATGACGCCGTGTTCTACCGGCGAAACAAACAGATTCAAGATGCCATTGACGGGCAAAATTTAAAACAAGCCCTGCAGTTGATTGACAAGCGCATGAAGAAGGGAGAAGATACAAAATTTTTGAAGGTTAGCACCATATGAGATCATTTATAATGATATATTCTGGACCTTTTCGTCTAAATACCCCTGGTGCTGCGCATGTTCCACATTATAGCATGTTGCTAATTTGATGGTGTACGCTCTGTGTAGGCATGGAAAGCTCATATCTTATATCGTCATGCGGACGAAACCCACCGCCAACGTGGTATAGCGGAGACCCTCGATTTGTGCAAGGCCGAGCCACCAGCTACCGATCTCGATACTCTCGACATTCTCTATCAGACTCTGAAACGGATGGGCGACCAGGCTGAAACTACGAGGACTCTATGGGAGAGAGCTTCAAAGGCGAAACCACAAGATTTAGAACTACAAATGAGATGGTTTACGTATGCATTTGAAGGTGACGACTGGAAGTCAGCGCAAAAGGTCTGTGGCCTGTTGAGCCTAGGTGTCGCATAAATCGAATCTAATTCCTCGAGTTTGGATGACAGGCTGCTATGACTCTCCAGAACAATTTCCCCAAAACGCGGAAATACTACCTCTGGGCAATTTTCCTCAGTCATCTCGTTGCTACTGATCAAGCCAGTTCAGAAACTGACCGTAAACTTTTTGGAACTCTGGCTTATCGCATGGTTTCCAAAGCTGCTGACAGTGTTCCTTCCGATCCAGTATGTCCTATGTGATCTTGGTCCTGGCCTTTGCAACTGTGACACTAACATCTACCGCAGAAAGAGTTGCTGAGCCCCCCTAGAGCCATACAAGGCCCAGAGGAGCTATTGCTACTTATTAAAATCTTCGAGTCCCAGGGACGTCATGATGAGATTGTAAAAATTCTTGATAGCGAGAATCTGGGACTAAGCTCGCGAGTCATCCAGAATGACTGGTCCTTCGTTGGGGTGAAGCTCTCCAGTTTGGAGAAGGCGGAGATGTGGACGCAGGGCTTATCCTACGCGAAAGAGCTACTTGCAATCCCTAGTAACGAAGCTGAGAGAAAGGCTCTCCAAGAGCGTGACGACTGGGCAGTTTGGAAACTACTTGTCATTTCAACCCGCAACATCAATGCCCAAGAGTAAGTTACGCCATCACTAGAAGAAGAATGAAGAAGAGGCAGCACTTGAAATGTACTTACTGACTATCTTCGCAGAACCACTACCGGGACCCTAAAGTTCATCGGCGATTTCCTTGATGCCGTGCCCAAATCTCGCAATGCACAGCTAGCTCGCCTAGACTTGATTCATTCGGGTGTTCTCGCTGGCACTTCGAAGACGGAGGATCTAGTCGCTACTTGCCAAGAATATTTTGATAGTAACAAGAACAAGCTTTACTGCTTTAGCGACCTGCAGCTTTATTTGGCAGCACTGGACAAGGAAGGTGTGTCAAAACTTGTGGAGTATGCCTCCAAAGGTCAAGAGGAGAATGTACGTTCGAGACAATGTCCGTGCCTTTCGTTTTCAAGCTGACACACTCGTGAAGGTGAAGAGTGACCCTTTCAAGGGTGTGACGACGATCAATGCGCTTAAACTTGAATACTGCTTCGTATTGTCAACTAACGAGACTAATGTCTCTAAAACACAAGTTGAGGACTTCATCTCGCGCTGTCTCCAGGTCTACCGTGAGGCAGATCGTCCAGAACGGAGCTCAGCCCCATCCACAATTGAAAGTCAGCCTAGTGATGATCTGTGTTTGCTAGCTGCTATGAGCTTGATCCGCTTCAGTGGAACATGGATCTCTGGTAACCAGGATAAAATCCCAGACACCGTCCTCATCCGCGCCGCTGCTATCCTGGAGCGTCTCTTGTCTGATTCTCCTCATAACTACCAAGCGTTGTTACTCCTTGTGCGTATCTACTTGCGCCTCGGGGTTGGATCGCTCGCTCTCAAGGCCTTCAGCAAGCTTTCTGTCAAACAAATGCAGTTCGAAACGGTTGCTCACAACCTCTTCACCCGCCTAGCAACGATCCACCCACACTCAGCGCCCCCAATTGAGGGTGCAGAATACAAAGACTTCGACCCCCAGTCCGCATTTGTTCAGGCCCTGAATTTCTATCGAACGGCTGAGGTCACGACAGTCAGGCAGCGGTCGAATGGATTGGACTTGGGCAGTTACGTAAACATAGAAGGCACCATAGAGCTTCAGAGGCGTTTAAAGTATAGTGTCTGTCGCAGGATGTGGGCATTAGACGTTAGACGGATGCAAAGACTGGCCGGCGGAGATCCGATGGGTCGATATGACGAAATTGGTAGGTGCAACAATACTGCATACAATGGACTATCCGCTCACAATCACTCTACAGCAAGGGACCCATCTCCCTTGGCAGACCAGCGTGTATTTGATGCATTCATGAACTGCGAACCCACCAACCAGCCAACTTTCGAGGAACGGATGCGCTTGGGGCCACTTCCTCGGGTACGTTTGTCCCTAATCAGTGTTGAGACCTGAGGGCAAGGCTAATAAGGAACAGGACCGATGGGTGACGTCTGCGAGGGTAACAGACCAATTGTTTAGTACCCTCAAAAATATGGCTGTTCAGAAGCCAGTGTCTATTGAACCTAATTTGCCCAGTCTCGAAGATATCGTAGGGTCGGAAGCATCTTCTGAGATGACCTCATCAGAGATCGAAAGCGTCAAGGTCAATCTGAATCTTCTCAAGGTGGTCTCATTCTTGAATGGATCAAAGTCCGTCGCCTCTGAAGAGGTCGACCGCTGCTTAACTCAGGTAGAAGAATGGCTGAGTTCCAAGTCAGAAGATCTTGACTTGAACGGTCCAAAGGTCTCCGCGCTTGTATCAGAAACTGCAGTTTCCTTGCGGCGGCATCAATCATCTATCCCAACCTGGAGGTTCTTCCACAACTCATACCTGATCATCGAGTCGCTTAAGGCGCTCTCGCTCATAACATCCATTGCATCAAAGAAGACCTCCAAGACTGTGAAACTCCCCAAGGATCGTATACAAAGACTAGCCGATTCCGCCCGCCAAGTCTATGAAAGTATTCGGGCAAACGCTCGTGCGCTAAAATCAGCTATCTCTGAGCCGGGCGTTCTCGGATCTTTGATTGACTTGGTGGTGGGTGGCTCTGGCGATGGTGAGGACGGTACGCAACTTCGGACAGAATTGGATAAGACATTTGATATGGCTGCGCTGGAGATGTTCTGCGGTGAGTTAATGGAAAGCTGGGAAGAAGGGCTCGATGGGCTGCTGCGCGCGTCGCTGTGACAATGGGCCAGGATACGATTGAATTAGATCATTGGCTGTGTACGACATCTACGCTACCCAAGGAGGGTGTACGCTGCAATATCAACTATATTATACTGACATACTTACATACTTATAGAAAATCCTATATGGATGGGTTGTATATCTATTCAAAACGTCATTCCGGGGTGAGAAATCTAGAGACATACAAGATACAATTACTGCCGCTACAAGGTTAGGCACATAGCCTGTAGAATAAATGGAATGAATACGAGGGGCTTCTTTTCCAGGCACGAGGCTGAGGCGTGGAATGTTGATCTCCTTCTGCAAGGGTACCGACAAGGTAGCACTACGTTCTTTATCCCTTGGTTGTCAGCCTGGTGCTTGTCCCACTACTACCATGGCATTCACACATACCCCTCCACTACTGCTCCCAATAGGAGCATTCCTCTCCTGCTGTTTGTCGGCTTACCAAGACGAATAAGCAAAGCCCCTTGCCAACGGTGAAATCTTACTACTACATTATTCCATTGAAGCGGATGTTTCCTTGAGTCATGGGTTGCTGCAAGTCAGCGGCGGTAGTCTCCTTACTTCCAGGGCAGATAATGTCCCCCACGCTATCATGGCTGTTTCTATTCTTACTGTGCTGATGTCTAATTATCTACATCTCCACACCCTGCTAGACCTCGGCGTAAGTATTTGGTCAACATCTGTAACTGACTCCCTGTCCATGTCCGGCTTCTCGTTGTTTCCCTTTCCTTTCCCGTCCTCTCTTTTGTCCTTGGGGTGCAGGTAACGGGTCTCCAATGTCTGATTTAGGCCCGTATCTTGCTGTCATAATTAATTCGCTTTATTGTTCATGATATCCCAGGTTCAGACATGAATCCTACATACGATCATAAACATTCGCCGCAACGATGGGATGTCATTACCGAGGTATTATGCCTCTCAGTTAGTACCTGTTGTGTCTGTATGCGCATGTACACAAAGCTGTTGATCACCAAAGCTCCGGGGTGGGAAGACTGTACGTATACCAAGACAAGCTCAAATAGATCAGCATTCACTAACTGTCATCTGTAGTTACTTGTTTCTTTGCATGGGTATGTGCCTCAATACGCTGTCTACAGACTCTTGCTCTCGGAGAATCACCTGCTCATGAGAGCCATAGTTAGGATTAATAGTCTATGTTGTCATGACTTTTGAGACAGGCAAGCATGGCAGTGGTCTCCATCGGTGGGAAGTATCTCCTTCAGACCTCCGTGAATTCTTGAAGGTCAGTTCCCTCATAACAGGAAGGACCCAGCGTATTGATCATCATTAGCTAGCAAATGCATGCCAAATCATATATGGGCCGATCATCTTCATCACCAAATTATCCATACTCCTTTTATTTCTCCGCGTATTCGCACTGTCTGTCAGAAGCGTCACTTACTTCTTGATTCAATTGCTCATCTGGCTTAACTTCCTCTTCTACCTGGCCGACACGATCCTCAAGATCTTTGAATGTACACCACGATCCAAGATCTGGGATGAGCATATCCCAGGGCACTGCATCAATATCAACGTTCCCATCCTGGCTGCGTCGATCTTCAACGTAGTGTCCGATTTCCTAATTCTCTTACTGCCGATTGTCTGTGTATGGCGTCTGCAAATGACCTTCAAGAAGAAGATATGTACATCTGCTGTCTTCGTTGCGGGTATCTTGTGAGCCACCCTTCCCATCACTGAACTCGCCCAGATGACTGACAGAGCGGGTACTCCTGAGTAAACAGCGGCTGCATATCAAGCGTCATGCGCCTTGTAGTCAGTATCCCAAATAGCACGGCCACCGACAACACATTTGTCTGGTTTCCAGAACTCTTGTGGACGTAAGTGTAAATTAGGGCTACATCCCGTATTCCCTACTGATATCGATAATAGTGCCGCCGAAATAACTTCAGGAATCATAGCAAGCTGTTTGCCGGCATTACCTACTTTCCTGCGACATTTCTTGAAGAAAACAAAATACTTCTTCTCGGAGCCTGTCACGACTGGTTCCGGCTCTAGTATTATGGCTTCAAAGAAAACGGTAGAGGCACGGCGTTTTCCAGCTCAACCCCAGCCGAATGTTAGCCTTACAGATTTACTTCCGGGGAGTAACTTGGAGATGCTAAGCCGTGGCAACCGCAGCGGGAAGACATATGAAACCACTTGCTATAGCACGGTCGAAGCCAGCCCGGTAGAAAAGGGCCGAGAGGACCATTCCAAGGCTGGAGAAAACCCCAATCAGGGGATATTGAAGACCGTTGAGGTGGATGTGGAATCAGGGCCAGAGCAGACCGAACAGAAACAATAGTTATGTAAAGATTTAATCATGATGATCAAGTACCTATACTTCCAGGAGAGGATTGAATGTAGTTAACCCTTATCGGAGCACTGATAAGATGATGATAAACACCTCAGGCAGCAACACCCGGTCATGCAGTCCAGGCAAAAGAGGGCGCTAACCCAGACCGGAAACAAGCCCTAAGCAAAGCCCTAACACTCGCTACGCACTGCCGTCTGAGCCAACCAAAACCGTGCAAAGTCCATCGCGCTTCTATCCGCACCGAGACGCCCATCGACTTCGACACTCCCTCACCAACCACGTCGCCAAACCAGTCCAACCGTCGAGATGGCCCAGGAACGCTCCGGAATTGTGGTCGGTCTGAACAAGGGCCATGTGGGTTCCCCTATCCGTGCTATATTTGATTTTGAACGGATCTCAGTTGTCGAGTGGATGTTGAATGGCTGGAGAATGCTGGGGAACGGGGAGAAAAAAAAAGTTCGACAATACAAGACGGAAGTGCGAGAGGAAAAAAAGAGAAGAAAATCGGGAAGATAAAGCGACATGGGGAGATTCTACGTGATTCGGGAGAATACAGCATTCAGCAACCACTCGACATCTGAGAAAAACCGACTTGATGTTCCAGATACATGTGGAGGAAGACAAGAAAATTAAGACTAACGGATATTCTGCGTTATAGAAAACCACCCCCCTCAACACCCCCAGACCCGTGTCAGCCGCACCAAGGGCCAGTCCTCCCGCCGCACTGCCTTCGTTCGTGACATCGCTCGTGAGGTTGTCGGTCTTGCCCCCTATGAGCGCCGTATCATCGAACTCCTGAGAAACACTCAGGACAAGCGTGCTCGTAAGCTCGCCAAGAAGAGGGTACGTTCGATTCCGTCAACATGCTATCAATTCGGCAGACCTTGCTCGGGCCGCTCTGGCTTTGGCCGGATAGTCTCGGAAGTTATCATCGGTTGATCCTGGGGTCGATTATGGTTTACTATCGAAATTACACTGGACCAGAGCGGAAGGAAGCCGGAGCAATCTTGAGATCATCAGTTCAAAGCAGAAAGGCTAACACTCGACTACAGCTCGGTACCTTCGGCCGTGGCAAGAGAAAGGTTGAGGACATGCAGCGCGTCATCGCCGAGTCCCGTCGTGTTACTGGTCACTAAATTCGTTCCCATTCAATCCGATAAAGCTTTCTCCTATTAGCCAAAGAAAAGAATGAGATAACGAAACGATGAAGTGAGTCTTGGTGGCCGATCACATGGAGTGTGGGGGAGGTTCTGTCCATATGGGGAGGGGAAAATGACAACCCGACCTACCTTCTTTGCTTCTATCTCTCCTGGGATATAGGAATGGAGGCAAGGGATATGATTCCATAGGCGTGGACAATTGGACAAAAAACATAAATGGATCTCTGATTCTAATGCAATACCACTGGGACTTGGTTTCTTTCACCTTCAATCTTCTTCGGAATATTCTCTAGACTGGCCTGTGTAGGTCGATCTCTGGCCTAACGGTCACCAATCGACTACCATTCGGGATGTCGTTGGTAGCATCCGACTTGGTCATCCTGTAGACTGCTATTCAAGTAGCCGAACATGATATATACTTCTTTCCAGAGCTCCGGAGCTCAACGGTGACGCTGTCTATGCATTGAATCTACCTTAAAACTACAGGATATCAGGACCATTATCACATTACTCATAATCGTAAGTTAGAAGACGTATCATAAAGGTAACACTGAAGGTACCAGCATATCTCTTATCTATTTCTTCCCGGGTAGTTTCAACCACTTGGGCAGGCTTCCTGGTTTGCGCCCGCTTGACTTCTCTCCTTGGCGATCAGATCCCGACTTTGGCTGCACCGTATCCTCAGAGGTGTCCATTACATTTGCTGGTTCTTCAACCTTCAGTTCCTTCGCTTGTGTCCGTAACTCTGGTTTCAGGAGGTCTCTCCGGCTTTGCCGAGCAGCTTGAGAAGCGGTTGCGTCCCAAGAGAAATTGACAAGCACTCGGCCTACCATACCGAGGTCCTTGATGAGTAAAGTCTGATCGGAGTCCGGAACCACGTTATGTAGTTTCTTTCCACTCTGACCACCACTGGGGAACGTTGTGATGATAAATTTCTCTCCAGCGAAAGGACCGGCCAAGCAGTTCCTTACAAAACTGTAGAGTGATCTGCCCGTATCTTGTTGCCCGAATTTCGCCACAATCTGACTTTGGTCCGGCAGTCGGATTTTGACGTCCACCTCCTTGACAGCTGCAAGCTTTCCCTCCTCTGCTGCGGCTTTAGCGGCGATCTCTGCATCAGATAGAAGACGTTTATTCTGGGAAGCCGCGTTGAGCCGACGTTGGTGTGCCTGCGCATGATCTACGGAGGGAACGTAGTCACTTTCATTATAGGCGGTCTTTGCGGCCTGCGGTGTATCGCTAGATGGAGGGGCAAAGACTGCTAATTGTCGAGAGGCGACAGTCGTTGCAGGTTCGGAAGGTTCCGCAGGGGCAGATAGGACGGATGGAGGGGTTTGGTTTTGAGGCTCCTCAGGCAAACCGGGTGCAGGCGGTGATGCATCTAGTGTAGATTCTAGCGGCTCTCGTTCTTGTTGGCTAGGTCCATCTACTGTCTGCTTTTGTTCTGCTAGGGTAGACGGCTCATGTGACTGGGGAACCGTGTCGTCGTCGGATGACTTGAAGTGTTCTTGGATCTTGCTCATAGCGACTTCTAATGGGTCCTCTGTCCGCCGAAAGCTCAGTCTCAGTAACACGTTTCCGCTGTTGAACCCTAATTGGGCTAGGGACTTCTGCAAATCAGTGAATGTGGACATCTCTCGTTCCAAAATTTGGATCACCGGCGTCTCGTAGAACAACCGTCCTGATCCATTCTCTCCGTTTCCAGTAACGGGAGCCCCTCGCGCTGTGAGATTCCGAATCGATGCATTCCCAGCAACTCCAGCTTCAAATTTACGCAATATAAACCATAGCGATGTTGTACTTGGGAATTTGTCCATAAGACGGCCGTTGGGCGCCCCACGGGCTTCTGATTCTGGTAGCTGAAGTGCGACAGTGACAACGGATGGCGACCGTGAGAGTTGGACCAGCTCCAACTTTGCGCCAGAGGTAAGCCCGGAAAGGCGAAAAGCTAGCGATAGGTCGACCTGTTTACCTTTGTATCTTGGAACGGAGTTAGTCCCTTAACTGAAAGCTTGATATTTGGTTTATGGGAGTAGAAGCTTACTTCAGTCCATATTGGCTAGCATCTACGCCTAGTTTTACACAAGCCTCTTGTAAAACGTCAGTCAAATACTTTCCTGGCGTTGTCTTGATTGTAGCCCTTCGAGCTGTCGAGTCGAGGACCACGACATGAGCGCTCATAGTTGGAATGTTTATTTTAATATTGCGGGGGTGGTGTTAAAGTTGATGAAAATGAGCGTCGTCGCCTTCAAGTTTTCTCGCCTGTCTTATACTTTGGATATAGTATCAAACAGCAAGTAGACCAAGGCGAGAGAAAAGCATAGAAGGACACAGAAGGAGTTGATATTCGGAGATTAGGGTAACGGACGAGGTGTAGTAGTAAATGCGGGAAGATCAGTACTTAGGCAGCGGGCGCATCGTCATCGGCAGAAAGCTCGGCGGCTCCACGCGTGCTGGCAGCAGTGAGCTTCAACTCAACCATTCATCAGTCCCTCTCCTTCACCACCTCACGCTTCCCCCCCTCAACCCTCAGTCCTCCACATCTTCTTGCTTCACAATTCTCGAACCCTCTCGCTCTTCTAGCTTGGATTTTGTTTTTATTTACTCTAGCAAATTAATCATGGTATGTCTTCTGTACCATTCTTCTTTCCCTGATCGAGCAAGCTGACAATCCCTCTAGAGTTCGCCCTTCGATATCAGTATGTCATCGTCCCCGTCTCCCATCTGACTCGAGCTTAACATATTAATCTGTCTCTCCGCAGACGGTGGCGCCTGCGTCGCCATGGTAGGCAAGGACTGTGTTGCAATTGCCTGCGATCTCCGACTCGGCATGCAGGCCCTGACCGTCTCCAATAACTTCCCCAAGATCTTCAACTACAGCCCATCGACCTTCCTCGGCCTCACTGGCCTGGCGACTGATGTCTCGACCGTCTCAGATCTTTTCCGCTACAAGGTTAACATGTACCGCCTGCGTGAGGAACGGCACATAGCACCCCAGACCTTGGCCAACCTGGTCAGTTCGTCACTGTACGAGAGGAGGTTTGGGCCTTTCTTCGTCAGCCCTGTCGTTGCAGGTATAAACAGCACAACTGGCAAGCCATTTATCTGTGGCTTTGATAGTATTGGATGTATCGACTTTGCGAAGGATTTCATTGTCAGCGGGACAGCTAGTGACCAGCTGTTTGGTACCTGTGAGAGTTTATGGGAGCCGGATCTGGTATGTCTTGCGCGTGTGGGATTCCGATCATGATTAGAGGCGATACTGACAGCTTAGGCCCCCGAGGACTTGTTCGAAACCATTTCCCAGGCTCTCCTCAGTGCTGTGGACAGAGACGCACTCTCCGGTTGGGGTGCCCAGGTGTACATCATAGAGAAAGATAAGGTGACTAAGCGGCTACTCAAGGGAAGACAAGATTAGAAGAGTTATGTTCGCGCTTTTTTGTTATGTTATTCAGGTCTTTAATATCACGCTCCATTGCCACGATTGCAATATTTCCTGGTTGAAAACAGCTTTCGGCGTCTAAGGTCTCCACTTAATGTTACATACCATTGATGAAGGCGAGGCAAAGCACAGTGAGGATATATGGAGGACAGAACTACAGGGAATTAGACTTCTACATCTCTGCATACCGGTTCACCGTCCTACTAGTTCTGTCGCGATATGCCTGGGGCCTCGATCATCTACTGAGTACGACCTAACTCTTTTAGGACTCCGTTCAATCTGCATTCGATAACTAAGTAGGTGGTCAGTATCCATCCTTTCCAGATACAGCTCTGTACGCCTGCCCATTCCTTCCCAGGAAATTTCTCAGGTCGGTGGCCAGGAGCTCCGGTACCTCCCACGCTGCAAAATGGCCACCGCAGTCAAATTGCTTGGCTCTCACGACAGAACCAGCCAGACCGGTCCACGACATAGGCACTCGGATCAACTCTTTCTTAAATTGAGCCACCGCGAGTTTAACGTTACCGGGAGTGGGTTTCGAGATCGCCTCAACGGTGGACAACCCGGGTACAGCAGACGAAGAATCATTCCGTGCCGCTTCGTAGTAGATCCGCACTGACGCCGCGGGTCCTGCTACCGAAAAGCAGTAAATGCTCACCCAAGTGAGAATCTCATCGTCTGTCCACGGGTAGCTATCGGCCCATGAGTGCAGTTTATCGTAAATCCAGGCGAGCAACGCCACAGGGCTGTCATGAAGGGCGTAGCCTAGCGTTTGCGGACGAGTCTCCTGCTGACGCAAGTAAGCATTCCCTTGCGCCAGATAGTCCGAGGTAGCTGCCAAGTGAGCCTTGTCGGCTGATGAAAAGGGAATAGTGAGGAGGGATTGAAGAAAGACTAAGGGATTCCGCCATGGATAAGGCGGGGCCACCGGTAGGAAGTTCAGGTGAACGGCCTTGACGTGGTCGGAGTAGCGGTTGGCCATGACACGAGCGATGATACTACCCCAATCACCGCCTTGTACAACTATAGGGAGGTTAGTGTCCAATCGGTCTGGTGGGGGAACGATACGGCAGACCGTAATCTTTGTAGCCCAAAGCCAGCATGACATTGTGCATTGCTTCCGCATATTGAACTAGGCCGAACCCTTTCTACAGGGTGTCAGAGCACTTCGGCCAATGCACTTATGATTGGGGTATATCTTCAGACCTTTTTTACTGCAGATGAGAAGCCAAAGTTCGGCAATGAGGGCGCCACCACATGGAACGCAGGGTGAGTCTCGTCACCTTGGGTCAACAATGGAATAAGCTTCGTTGCTTCCAAAAAGCTTCCAGGCCCTACAAGAACACCGATCAGCTCCGCAGTGGCTTCATTAGAAAGTGACGTCGGTCAGACCTACAGCCATGGATGAATAGTAAAGGAACAGCGTTTGGATTTCGGCTGGTGTGGTGCAGGCAATGAATATCCAGGCCTCCGAATCCGGTGACGGTTATAGGGACGAGGAATTGATTCAAGCTCTCATTCAATTCTTTTTCCTTTTGTCGCCAGTTGAAACCATCGCGCCAGTAAGTTACCAGCCTTCTCATCTCATCCAGAGGCACACCCATGTCCCACTCCGCATCGTCCAGTTCATCCGGCAAACTTGCCGTTGTTAACTTTTGCTGGAGATGATCCAGCTGAGCATCTGGAACGGAGATTTCGAAGGGTCTAGCCATTGTGTTCTAACGGAGTCTGCAATCACTTTGTGGTTGAGAGTTGAGATGGCGTTTATGTCGGTCGGTCGAGGATGTCATGTAATGGGCGTACACAGACAGTAGTATCATAACCTCGGTCCATGTGAAGCATCATGGGGTAATGGATGTTGGAGCATTTGGTGTGATGGTCAATTTTAGGGTTATGCCAATATTTTATTTCCCTGTTGTACTGCTTTCTTTCGAAGTGCATAATCCGATAACTCCGTAGACATCGACATACGCTCAGTGAGGGCTTGATGTTCTATAAATATATTTCCGTACCACCATAAAAATACGTCGCAGTACCCATGTCAATAAAGATGCGCCATGCAGCCGCTATTTTGGTTTAAAATCAGGTTCAATGAAGAAACGGTCCGTTTCGAAAAAGAAAAAGATGATGACACAAGCAGAGCATATACAAACCCACTATAGGACTTATCATTCTGGCCAAAGGGACATTCTAGACTCCCAACTGAATCACTGTCACTCACTGTGTGGATTTAAGCCTCCCCGCGTCTAGACCGGCCGATCGGTCCAAAATTGGTCCCATACGAAATGGAGACGATTTTCTGTTTCCTTCAATTCCCCTCCTCCTGCACCTGACCGACTTTACCCTTTTCTCTCCATCCTCCCACTTCTTCCTCATCCTGGCCTGTGGGTGGGACTGTCTAAGTATATCCCATTCCATCATCGGATGGTCCCCTCACCCCGGCCATATTCTTGAGAACTGGATCTCTCTCTACTTGCGTGGTCATTTTTTGGGTGATTTCTGCCGACCATCTCTGGCCCCAGCAATTGGCCAGTGCCCTCAGGGAGAGGAAACAGTGCCATCCATCGACCAAGAAGATAACCTTCAACAACTATTGCAAGGCTATCGGAAGAGGAAGGATTAAAGGAGCAGAATATAATCCCTGGTCAATTTGTTTCGATTTATTTTGCCCACCTCGTGAGCAACAAAGCATTTACTTCGCGCTTTCGCTTTCGCTGTCGCTCTTTCTTTTTTACCCTTTTTTTCGCAGTCATAAAATCCCACATATCTATATCGCCTGGATACTTCGTCGCACGATCTTAAGAGCGTTATCCCAGTGCAGAGCGCCGACCATACGGTGTAGCTCGACCGGAGTTACACCTTCCCATCATTGTATGTGCCCGACAAATCTGTCTAACATCAAGAGTGACTCGACCTTTGACATCTCAAAAACCCTCCATTTTGCCCATGACGAAGGTTGATCACTAACCAGGTTCTCTGCGCTCTTTCCCCAGACCGAAAGCCATGCGTTTTGTCTTGCCCAAATATTCTCCTCGTGATCGGGCAACTAATTTGAAACCCCCAACGCTATTTTGGCGCCCTCCTATACCCTAATAAAGCTTCGCATTCGGGACTCGCAATATCAGCGACTTTGAACGAAGCGTGTACGCTGTCCCACACCATGTCAGATTCAGTCGAATCCGAATGGTCAAAAACTTTCGTATCGGCCGGCGTTCGAAACCGTTCCTCCCATGCAAGTCTGAATGTCTCTCCGGGGATGTATCAGCTTCAACCTTGCTCAACGATGACCCGCAGGCCGACCCATTACATCGCATACATATCGGTGGTCACCAAAGTATGGCGATCGAACAACTGATGAAATTAAAGCAAGAACTCCGAGGTCTGGACTTGGAGTCCTTCTGGAGCCGACTGATGGAACATATCACCTCGATCTGCAACGCTCAATATGGATTCGTAGCTCGGAGAGTTCGAGACGATGAGATTGTCGGTGATATGGGGGAGCATAAACCCCGCCTGTTTGGTACAGCCTTCTATTACAATGATGGACATCAAAACGTGGGAATGCATAGACACCGGTACTTTGCTGGAGGCAACCCTTTGTCTCATATGGACCATGGAAAACCTTGCTTGATTACTGAGAAGTTAGGATCTGTCACGTCATTCGACCAAGACCAGCTCCCGTTCGCAGCAGAGGGCTACCTTGCAATCCCGCTCTTCGCGGAAACCCAGTGCCTCGCCCACTTTGGTTTGATGTGGTCGGAGTCAGGGTTGCAGACCCGTAATCTCTCGTGGTCTTTGCTGGAAATGGTTCTGTACTCACTGGAAGATCTGATAGTTCAACGGATCCGAGAGGATACGACAAAGACCGACCGGCCTTCCAAAGATATCAAAAATCCATCCAAGGGCCATAAAATCGTCGACGATGGGTATTTGAATGCTTTATACGGGCACCCTGATTTTTCATCTCAACCCCTGAAGCCGTTTGCGCGGAGCCTGTCTCATGAGCTGCGCACGCCGATGCAGGGGATCGTCGGGATGCTGGACGTCATGCATGCTACTGTACGGGAAGCCATTCAAGGTAAACCGTCTCCAAGGGCAGGTTATGTTTTCCAATCTCTCAAAGAAAGCATTGAAATGGTTCAAGGTATGTTACAGCTGCTCGCTATCCTACTACTCAAAGCTAACCCCATACAGATAGTGCAAGACGAGCAGTTGAAGCTGCTGATAATGTTGTCCATGCCTATGATATGAACATGCAAGTTCCTAAAACACCCCAAGTTGAGCGGGACAACGACCTATTCGGCGGCCCCGTTCAGTCACCAATCCCGACGTGCGAAAATCGGCCGAGCATCTTTGCTGATGGTACCAACGTTGGAATCAATCCATATAAACGGCGGCGAAGCAATCCACCGGAATTCAATGTGGGATCGACGCCGAAGCAAAAGATGCCGCGTGTTGCAGCAACGAAAGAACTATCCCCTCGGACCGAAGAGGTCAAGAACGCGGTACTTGAAAGCGACAAAATTATTCAGGCCACCCCAGCACATCAGATTGAAGCTGTCATGGCCAACATGGTGGACCCCCGACCATCATTAGCAGTACGACGGTCAGCGCCACATCTTCTGCTGGAAGGAATCAATATAAACCTCAAGAGCCCAGCACTGCGAGTTACAAAACTCCGTGATTTGCTCCGTCTGGTTATCAATGAATCGCTTCATGTTGGTGGTCGGCCTGACTTTGCAGTGACAAATGGAACCGAGTTAGGGGAGAGAATCGAGCTTCGCTCACGGTCGTCCAACGGGGAAGTGTTTTCTAAAACGATAGACTGGTCGGTCGACACTGCGTTGCCAGATACTCTATTCGTGGATGATCGCGACCTCGCGAAGTTGATATCATGTGTTTTCCTGAATGCGGTCAAATTCACAAATAGCGGTGTGATTACTGTCTCTGCTACACTAGGCCGCAAAGTTGGTGATGTTTTGATTAACGTTCGGGATACTGGATCAGGTATCCCAGAGGCTTTTCTGCCAAATCTCTTTAAACCATTCGCTCGGGAGGATACATCTACGACTCGAAGCAAAGATGGTTTGGGATTGGGACTTCTCGTAGCTAAAGGCTTGGCTAGGAAAATGGGTGGCGATTTGATCTGTGTTCGTTCTGCGACCTCGGGTCCTGATCGTGGTTCTGAGTTCGAGGTTAGAATTCCTATCACTCAGCCTGAACCACGTACTAGGCCAATTGCCCCCACGACGAAGCTCTTAACCCCTCCCCAGCTCAGTGATCCCTCAAGGATGAGCCAACAGAGCAGCACAGGTCTGGATGCACTATTACCACCCGCAATGCGGACCCCAGTCCAACAACCGTCTCCCAGTCTCACGGATGAGACATCTTCGAGGACACCTACACACTCCCGCTCTGTACCCGATATCAAGTCATTTGGGGGCTCCATAAATGGAGATGCTTATGATAGCAAACTGGGGGAGAAGCATCCGCTGACGTTCCTTGTAGCGGAGGACAACAAGATCAACCGACGGGTGCTGGTGAACATGCTCAAAAGGCTTGGTTACCGGGATGTTTATGAGGCATGCAATGGGAGAGAGGCTGTGCGGATTATGCAGGATGTTCTGGCGTCGCAGCGCCCTGAGGAGGCCACGAATGGCTCTCACGCAGTCACGAACCAGAATAGCGACTCGGACGATCGCTCAATCCTCAAGCCACCACCAAAGTACCGCAAGAAACTCAAGCCGGTGGATGTCATTCTAATGGACCTTTGGATGCCAGAAATGGATGGTTACGAGGCTACCTCAAGGATCTTGCAATTAGTGGACCAATACCACGGTCAAATCCCTCCTAATCCTGGGATCAGCCAGCGTGCTACGGATTCTCATACTGCAAAGCCTGTTCGAACCACACCCCCGACGGTTCTTGCTGTCAGTGCCGATGTCACTGATGATGCCCTGGGACGTGCGTCGAGAGTCGGCATGAAAGGTTATATGACCAAACCCTACAAGCTGACCGATTTGGAACGGTTCATCATGAGTTTCTGCTGCGGTGATGATACAGCAAAGCAAAACAATGACTCAATGAAGGCATGAAATAGTTGGGTCGAATAATATTGACCGCCGTTTTTCCATATTTACTAATCTCTTATTTCATTTGAAGTTCCCGCTATATACCACATCATTTTTGGGGTTCTTAATGCATATACAGACGTTATTGAGAATTTTTTTTTTTCACCAAGTGCTGATCTGATGTACTTAACGAACGATATACCGTCAGCAATAATGATCATGACTTGGAGAGCCAAAGAGACTAGGGAAAGCAAAAAGAAAGAAAAACAATAAATAGAAGAAGAAGCATAAGAGGTACATAGACACATACACGACAGTTTCAATGATAATGGCAATTGGATTCCATATTAAATAAAATCGCTATGCTCTATCGTTTTCGCTTGATGCCACCCTATGCCGAAACACCTGAAACATACATTGGATAGAAATACAAGCAGAGTAGGTCATTACATCCATATCTATCAATCGACTCATTCGCATCATATAATACTGGAAGGGCAAGCATAATAGGCATTTCCCAGTCTTTCATGTCCGACAAGCTATCCCAGCAATAAACCTGAGCCTACGGCTAGGAACTGAGAAGAACCATCCAGCCCACAGATACATCTAAATTGTCATGAAGTTCCATTGATTTGCTTCGGACGAACCAAAGAAATAGACGATCAAGGAGATAATGAACTCAGATATAACCCCATATACAAGGTACGTCGGACAACAACTGTATCCGCTTTTCCCTATTTCCCTTTCTCCATGCCCTCATCCATTATGTCAGCTTCTGCTTGATGAAGAACGAGCGGAGGTGAGACAGTTGCCAAGCGCAGGCAGCGGACAGGACAGCCATTTGAATCAGGGTCCACCGGACGACACGGGAGTTGGTAGCTTCAGACTGATCACGGAATTCGGCCTCACGTTCCTAGAGAAAAGAAACCCGGTCAGTATCATATGCCACAGGTATACACTTAGAACCGATAGAATTGCGTAAGACATACCCGCTGGAACACCTGCTCTCTTCGGATATCCTGCAACCGACCGTTGAGATCCTTCACCTTCTGGACGATGTCCTGGATTTTGCCCTTGTCTTCCGTCTCGATCTTGCTGGTCTCTCCGATGGCTATGTCCAGAGTCACCTTGACAGCGCCCGCGGGGGCACCCGACAGCCAGCCACCGGTCGCGGCACTCGTCTCGGCGGTCACACAGATCCTGTGCTGGCCGGCATCAGCAGCGGAGAAGGTGAAGCGGCCGGAGTGGCCATCGCGCTTGGAGACGACCCGGTGGTCGTTGTCGAAGGTCTCGTCGACGGTAATGAGCATCTTCAGGCTGGGATCAACGGAGTACGTGTTCGACTGTTGGTTGATGACCTGCGTGGAGTAGGTTCCTGTCCGTGGGTATTAGAATATCTATGACACAGTCGAAGCAAGTTCACACCGAACGAATTGGTTGGTGACATACCGACAACCAATGTGTCCTTGGGAAGCTCTTCGAAGAAGCATTTGGGTTGACGTCCATCGATATAGAAGTAGAGGGCGTTAACAGGCACCGAGAGGCACAGGATGGCGCAGAAGGCCAAGAGGGAGGATAGCCATGAGGTCGAGGATGTCGACGCCATCATGAAGGAGATCCGAATGGCGAGGGTTCTGGAATTCTGGGGAGATCGAGGGGAGGAGAGGTGAAACAGTGGAAGAAGAGGTGGCCGAATGTTGATGCTCAATGTGGCAGCAACGGACGGAAGTCTTGGCGCGAATTGAATTCTCCCGTCATTTATTCACTTCATTCAATCAATCATTCACTCCCCTTCTCATTACTACTACGACTGCTTCCCTCCATCCTTTCAGATCCCTCTTGTTTCTCACCTCCTTTGTTTTTGTTCCTCGACACCTTCCCCTTTCATCCTCAACCAATACCGACAAATTTTAACCTGTGATCTTCAAACACTCGAAGAGTGGTGGTATCCCGCCATGGCCGCCGCCGATGTTCGCGACATGTTGGATTTGCCCGCGGAGGGCCAACCCCGACCGCATAAGAAACAGAAGGTCGTCGAGAAGAGGCCCGGTTGGTGTCCCCCAACTACGCGCCCGTTTTGTGCAGCTTCTAATATTCTAATTCTTAGAGGGTATCACTCGTGAACTGTACGCCTTGCTCGGCGAAAGAGCACCTCCGATCGCCATCAACGAGAACCGTTACAAAGGTCGCCCGAAATGGATGAGCAAGCTGAGAGTTCGTCCATGGTATGTTCTCTCTAACTTGCAGTGTGAGAATCTATGCTGACGATCACTTTTTCCTACTAGGCACATGGCTCCCTTCACCAATGAAGCTCGATCGGATGGACTCGTTTTACGTCACTGGCAAAGACAAAGCGATACTGCAAAACCGGCGCTGGAGGGACCAGAGACAGACGGTGAAGAACAGAAACAGGATGAAGGTGCCCTGCAAACCCCGGACCAGGAATACCTCTTTGCGAAATACAACGTCAAAGCTCGAGTACCGCGGCGATACACAGACGAAGAGTACAACCGACATCTCAAGAGCGATGACTGGTCGCGTCAGGAGACAGATTATTTGATGGATTTAGCCGAGGAGTACGATCTACGATGGGTGATTATCGCCGACCGCTACGACTTCCAGCCACATCCCGTCGATGCGGAAACAAACAACAGTGCGCTTGTACCGGCCAAGCAGGTCAGAACTATGGAGCACATGAAGGCACGGTACTACTTTGTCGCTGCATCGATGCTTGCCCTAGAACACCCTCCTTCGGAAATGTCCGAGGCCGAATTCGATTTGCACGAGAAGATGATGAAATTCGAGCCCGAGCGCGAGCGGGCACGGAAAGAACTTGCCGCTCTACAGTTGGAACGTACGGCCGACGCAGTGCGTGAGGAAGGAGTCCTGCTGGAAGAACTGAAACGCATTACTGCAAACGAGCAAACCTTCATCGCAGAGCGCAGAGAGCTGTACTCCCGCCTTGAGGTTCCCATTAGCGTGGGCAACACCACCATGTACCAGTCCAGCCAGGGCTTGTCTCAGTTGCTGCAGACCCTTCTCCAAGCTGACAAGAGCAAGAAGCGACGCTCTATACTTGGTCCCGAGGCGCCGCACCCAGTCCTGCCGCACAGACCCCAGCACCGAATGCAAACGCCCGTGACAGCCGTGGCGAAACCCCAAGCAACGCACCAGCAGCGCCTACAAACAAGAAGGCCGCGGCCGCGGCCGCAGCGAACAAAGAGGCTCAACAGAACATCAGAACGCTCACACCATCTGAAGAGGCCAGATACGGAGTACAGCATCACGACCGTCTGGCTCCAGGCGTACAGTTCCGTAGCGATCGTGCCCAGAAACTGACGCAGGCCAAGTCCAACGTCCAGACCCAGAAACTGGCTGCTGCACTCGCTGAGCTAGAAGTACCGCTTCGGCTGGTCATGCCTACAGAACGGGTATGCAAGGAGTTCGAGAAGCTGATCCACTCAGTGAACCTATTGCTTGACGCCCGCAAAGTGGCCGAAAAGGTGGAGAGTGAGATCCGCGTACTGGAAGCCGCTAAGCAGGAAAGAGAGCGCAAAGCAAAAGAAGCCAAAGAGAAAGAGAAGCCCGAGGTAAAGACAGAACAAGACGATAACCCGGCTCCAACAGCAGATGTGGCTACTGAGCCTACCGGTGCTGCGTCTGCTGCTCTACCTTCTGCAGAAGGTCAAGCGGAGACGGCGGGTGGTACAGAAGACAAGGAGGCAGAGGCCGGTGGTGGTCATACTGGTGAAGCGACAGCGCGAGAGGGCACCTCGCAAAAGCGTTCAGCCAGTGTCCTAAGCAACACCAGTGATAAAAGTACCAAGCGGCAGAAGAAGTGAGCTTTACGTGTGACTTAATGGCGTTTTTTGTGTGTATCACTATACCTATGTACGACTACATGAATATCCTCGGGGGATCTTTTGGGTAACTTCTAATGCATTCAGAGTATTTTATCGATTCTTAATCCCTAGTTCCATATCAATGACCTCTTACTAGGTGACAAGGCACTCAGAGTTCCCAGCCCAATTTGAAACTGAACTCCAGCCTATGTTTTCACAACCAATGAAAAGATCACTCTGGCTAGGGCTTTTGGTCAAGGTCATCTATTGCCATCGTATTCTTGATCACCCTCCAATTTTGCGGAATTGATCGAGCACAAAGACATAGCGCTACTGTTGATGCGTGAGCCTCTAATCAGGAATAGGATGGACCTCCAGACAATCTTCATATGCATCAGCCAAGTCAGTGTCCGAACTATTTCGCTCAGTTCCTTGCAAGGTACCGTCCCTTCTTTCATGATTGCCCGTACTGGGTCCATGGCTCTCCTCCACTCGTGAGATTGCGGAAAGCTCATGTTGCTTAGGACCGGGGAAGATAGGCTTCTCTTCATCAAGGCTATTGTTGATGGTCTTCTTACGGTCCCGGTTCTTGAGTTTAATAACTCGTGTCTTTTCCCTCCGTAGCCCGGGATTCTGCTTGATAGATAATGGTATCTTCGTTGTGAGTTTTGTCTCAAGGCAGAGAGCTCTGTCCGTTACAGTGCGACCTTTGGTCCATAGGCTTCGAGCACGATGTAGCCCCGTCCGCCCTTTCGACAACTGCCCGTCTTCGTCGTTTACTGGGGGAGTCGTATCTCTGTGCGGGGTTAGTGTCCCATCCAATGCTTGGTCCAAGCCAACTCCACAAAAATGACTCCAAGGGGGTTTCTGATCTACATGTGTGTCGGGCTCATTTTGGCTCTTCCTCAAGAATCCGAACTTTTCCCATAGCAAAGATGTGACTGATGTGTTACTTGACCCCTCGTCGACTTTATTTGCTCCGGAGGATGTGGTTGCACCGGACCAGTGATGGAGATTTAGACGGTGCGTCAAATTATCGAAGATTGGCAATCCTTTCCCTGATCCCGTCTTATTGTCTTGCTCCGTACAAGGCTTGTCAACAGCGCTGGCAGATCTTTTGCCATGACCCTTCCCAATTGTCGATGCACTGTTCAGATCACATGTCTTTAATGAGCAGGTATCTTCTGGGGATAAGTTGCCTCCTTTGTCATCTGCTGATACCAGCGTGTACCCGTAACCAAGACGGCGACCCCCAGACATCCATCCAACGCTGACCTGGCGCGATGATGAAGCAGCCATGCCTGCGGTGCTCTGAAGGTCAGCTTTAGGAGGAGCAACCAATGGATCGGCTTCGCATGGTCCTGGGGATGTGCTTTGCTGAGCGCGTTCGCTAGTATCACAAGGACTCGCAGCAGTAGGGGTATTTGGACTGGCTCCGGCAGTTTCTTGTGATTGACCAGATGGATTCAGGCTAGAGGCACCGGCGTAAGGATTCTTCATTGCTTCTCTCACCGACTCTGGAAGACTGAAAACCTTTGTTTCATACTGGTATTTGGAGAAACCAGATGAGAAGCTAGTCCTACGGGAATATGACGACGACTCCTTTGCTCGCGATAGTGCCAGACTCGATTCTTGTACATTCTCAGTTGGTGCTTGTGTCGTTTCTACATTAGGTCGATCGTAGCCTTCATTACATGGGGTCCTCGCCCCTGTGGTTTTGTCGCGCCCATTGCCATCAAATGATGACTTTTCAGATAAGACCCGAGGCGATATGGAGGGAGACGCCAATCTTTTCGATATATCCATGTTACCTAGATGAATCGAATGGCTTTCGGATTTCAGCTCCCTCGGAGGCGCCTGTCGCCTCTTTCTGATGGAGAGTTGGGAAGAGGGTCCATATACCGAATCGACAGACGTTGTGCACGGCATCGGCGATATAGGTATGCGTCCTGGATAGCCTGGAAGACGTCCACGGTTGGCTGTAGAGTGCCGGCTGGGACTGTCAAAGAATCCAGTAGTATAGGGGCTTCCGACCCGCTTACGAGCACGTTCATGATCCGCGCTGTGAGTGATAGGTGGCAACGGGCCCCAGTGTGGACAGTCCCGTGGATGCCATGGCAATTGGGGCCTCTCCATCTCACTTTGGCCTGAGAATGGACCATCAACCAGCATGCTGCTCTCTCCCGCCAGCTCTTCACCCAGATCGTCCGGTTCCGTCTCATAATAGGGTTGTGCAAGAGGTGATACACTTCCCCAAATGCTGGGACAATTGTACGGTCGTTCTGACCCATCGTTGGCATACCTAGCTGGGTCCATAAATTGTGCATCGCTATCATAACCCCTGTCGCTCATCAAAGTGCTTGGAGAGCCATCTGAGGTGATTAGGCCCGGTTTTAGATTTGTAGGCTTGGGTGTGAATGGGAGATATGTGCTTCTGGCCTTCTTGTCAGTGTTTTTGGGTCCTGCGTTGGTTTCTTTGGAGAATCGTCTTCGCAATCTCTCGGATAGGCCAGAGGAGCCTCTTTGGTCTTCACAGATACTCCCATTATCCGCCAACGAAGGTACGCCTGTCACTGTCAGTGCTTACATGCACGGCATTGGTAATCAAGCGGCGAGTTATCATCACCTTCGGCTTGTTCCTCCGAGGAAGTGGGAGACTCTACCCGAGTCATTTGATAGCAAGGCGTCACATTTGGCGCTGCTGAGTGCTTCCGGCCCCATCTGAGCCAAGGACAGGAGAAGAGACCCATTATATGGCTACGTAGGTTTTTCGACTAGCAAAGACAAGTAGTTCTTTGAATGCATCATTGGCTAGATCGAAGAGAGACATTGCTCGCTGAGAAGCACAGGCTCCTTCCGTCCATTTTGGATCTTCAACCTGTCAAGGAAGGTGCGCATGGTGACGCCGACAGTACTAGTAGTTTCCTAGAACCCAACAAAAGAATAGGAAGCCATGAAAACTTCCATGACAGTACCTTCCAGTCTGTTGTTGGACGGCATGGGCATCTATCCACCGAGTATGGAGACCAATTTGTCCGGGGTATTCTTGTGCTTCGTTGCAATACGTAATGGTTTCCGACGGAGCCAACAGCTCCCCGTCAATTCCCCGACTACATAGTCTTGATCACCAGAGCGAGGGATAACTGTCGGTCCATGTTGTTTTCACCAACGTATATCCACTCCGAGGCGAATGATACTACTGGTAGAAGATTCGTTCCTGGCTTCGTCGGCTTATACGGCGGTATATCACATGCGGTTATTGGCGGCACGATTTATGCAGCGTAGCGGCAGGTCGATGCTTTGAAGTATATACTTCGCAGTATGCTATAGAATACAAAACTGTTAAGAATTATTAGCTGATCAACCATGCCAACATAATTCAAGGATTTAACATCTGTTAGAGATTTCAAGCACCACGCGGGTATTGCGCGAGTCTTCGGGGTTCTGGTCTCACCTCACCTCGGCCATGAGTCAAGGACCGACGATTCTCCTGGTGGGGTTGAAGTAGTACGGAGTTCACTCATCGGGAGCGTCGAACAATTGCATTGATGTTCTTTGGGTGTAGTATTCAGAATTCACATGGATCAATTCCGATGGAGCGAGAGTATGGATACTCTCTCCTTTTTTTTTTTTCTCTCTCCCTCTCTCTCTCTCTTATTTTTTTTTTTCGGTCTGGCAGAAA